GGGATTACTAGTCAGGTATTTTATAGAATGTCCCTCAACTGAGTTAAAAAAACTGATTTATAATGCAGTATCATAAAATCTACCTTTTCAAAATTGCACAATTCAGTGCTTTTTAGTATATTCACAGTTTTACAATCATCCCAAACATCCCCTATCTAATTTCAGAACATTTAAGCATCCTATAAAGAAACTCCCTAACATTTAGTAGTCACTCCCCATCACCCCTCCCCCATTCCCTGACAATCACTAATCAGCTTTCTGTCTCTATGGATTTGCCTATTCTGAACACTTCATATAAATGGACTCATACAAAATGTGGCCTTTTGTGTTCAGATTCTTTCACTTAGCATATTTTCAGGGTTCGTCTATTTTATAGCATGAATCAATACTTCCTTCCCTTTTATGGTCAAATGATATTCCATTGTATAAGATGTGCCATACCACATCATATTTTGTTCATTCATTCATCAGTTTATAGACATTTGGGATGTTTCCAATTTTCAACTATTATAATAAAGCTGCTATGAAAATTCATGTACAAGTTTTTTTGTAGATGTATATTTTCACTTCTTTTGGGATAGAATTGTGGGTCATAGGGTAACTTTATGGTTAAATTTTTAGGTACCCTCAAACTCTTTTCCAAAGTGGCTGCATTATTCTACATTCTTATCAGTGATTTATGAGGGTTCCAATTTCTTCACATCCTCCATAACACTTGTTATTGTCTTTCTGATTATAGCCCTCCTAGAGAGTGTGAAGTGCTATCTCATTGAGTTATTCATTTGCATTTCCCTGATGACTGATGATGTTAAGCATCTTTTCATGTGCTGATTGGCCATTTGTTTATCATTTTTTGGTTAGTTGTCTATTCAAATCCTTTGCCCATTTAAAGTTTTTTTTTTTGTCTTTCTTTTGTTGAGTTGTAAGACTTCCTATATAAGCCATATCATTTGAAACTATTTTCTACCATTCTGCTGGGTTTTTCTTCATTTTCTTAATAGTGTCCCTGAAGCAAAACCTTTTATATAATTGTGATGAAGTCCAATTTATCTATTTTTTCCTTTTGCTTTTGCATTAGGTATCATAAGTAAGAAAATATTGTGTAAGTCAAAGTCACACAGTTTTACACCTATGTTTTCTCCTAAGAAATTTATATTTTGAACTCTTACATTTATTCCTTTGATCCACTTTGAGTTTATTTTTGTATATGGTGTGATGTATGAGTTCTGATCAGTTTTTGCAGATCGTCCAGCTCTAGTTGTATAGATAGCATTTTTAATCCAGACTTGGTATCCTGTAAGCTCCTATCCTTGAGTGTTTTACTCAGGGATAAGTCTAGACTTCGGAAAAAATGGAATGGTTGGGAGACACATCAAGGTCTAGTGGCACGGTCCTTATAGCCAAGTTTACTGATGAAGTCTCCTTTTCTGTATATTTACTTCTCAATTGCAGGATATGCTCAGTCAGGCTTATAAACTGATAAAATTGTCCTCAAGTAGATGAGTGAGCCAAAATGGCAGCTCTCTGGGTTGTCTGTAAGGCACAGAAAGCCCATCATGCCTTCTCTGGCAACCAAGGCCAGCTTCTTAATGCGGTAGAGCAGCCAGGAAGTTATGAGGAGAGTGGTCGGAGTTCTCAAAAACAGCAGGCTACAAAGAGTGTATGATGGGTCAAGAAACTAGACAATCAAGTACATTAGAGTTGAGAACGAAGTATAATTTTGTTTTATCAAAATACTGAATTTTAAATTTTAAAAGTACTTAATGATCACTGCAAAAAGTATAAACATGGTAAAAAGTAAAAAACAAAACCAAAAAAATGCCCAAATTGTCATAGCCAAGTGGAGACTAAAGAGACATGACTACTGAACATAATACATGTGGTATCTTGCAACAAGAAAAGGACATTAGGAAAAACCTGAGGAAATCTGAATAAGGTGTGGAATTTAGTTTACAATAAAAAATATATACCAAATTCCAATCCCCTGGGAGTACTGCTTCCAGGTGGAAATACCACAGTAATATTTGGAGGAATTCTAAGAGCTAACACTTCTATAGAGCTTTTAGTCTGTATCAGACCCTATTCTAAATATGTATATTAACTCATTTAGTTGTCAAATCATCATATAAGTACAATTCCCCTGTGTTTTACAGATTTGGAAAATAAGGCACTGAAAGTTAGATAACTTGTCCAAGGTAACATTGCTGTCAAACGTCAAAGCTAGACTTTGAATCAAATGAGTCTGAGTTCTAGGGCACGGTTTTCATCACTGAACTATAGTGGTGTGTGTTCTTTCATACTTTTTTCAATGCATGTAAATATATTTACATAAGATATCCACGTATAATTCATCATTATATTTTGCTATGCACTCCTATGATTAGAGTTGACTTTCTAAGTATAGTGGATTAAGTCAATATAGTCAATATGCCAGAGCGGCATATTTTGAGGTGGCATGTTCTGATCTCCTTCCTATGTTACTTCGCATGAATATGTAAAAATGCACTATTATAAGTTGTAAGTTTTGTAGGTCAAACACTGTTAGATATTAATTTCACATGGTTCAGTCTAATACTTCTTTATATCACCCAACTTGTATTTTATTGATATATACATTAATTTATTTAGATTGTCTTTCATGATGCACATTACATAGTTTTCAACTTTTTATTATGATAGAGATGTACATTAATATGTCTCTTCACACTTGTTTGCATATAAGATCATTGGGAAAAGAGCTGGAGCTTAGGGAGAAGGGGAGGAGATTTTAGCCATTTAGTCACTTTTACCCTCAGTCCTTTGATATGGACAATTGAGAAAAGGGAAAAGCTATGTAAAAAGCTATGCAAATACAGCTTCAGGATTATTTCCTTAGCTTCCACTTCTCTGCATTGTCTTTTTCCATGCTATGCATATGTAGAAATTTTGGAGTTACTGAAGTGTCCATTATACCTGTAGACATGGTATTATTAGTGAAAAAATCTTGTATCTGTTTATTAGTGTTGCATGAAAGTGCAATTTCCTCCACTTCGGATATCACTGATTATGGGTAAAAATTTAAATTTAGCCAAGTAAAGGTTCTTGTGTTCTGTAGGGATCCAAGTTCATTTTTTTGTTTTACAAGAAATGAATAGCCAATTTTCCCAATGTAATGATCTATCCATCCTGTACTGGAGAGTTTACATTATAATTTGTTTGGCATAATTTTCATAATTTACAAAAAAAATTGCAGAAAGGAGAAAAAGGGGAAAAATGCCCACCAAATTTGAACAATACAACATCTTCCTAGAGTTATATTTTCTTCTAGACAGGCCTTCAGGTATCTAGCATATTTGCATTCACTGTGGTTTTGCATCAGTTTAACTCTTCCAAACCAGCATTTTCGGTACCGCATATAGAAAAACATGAGAGTGATAATAAATCAGGATTGTTTGGCTAGTGGGGCCAGCAAAGACTTGTTGGGGAATTAAGTGTTATTTCTTGAACATTTTACACATATTTAAAAACAGGGGGACGTTGCCATTAATCTCAGGATGGCGGTGGACCCAGTATTCCCCGTCTCAGGGCGCGAGGACCTTGGCCTCTTGCGCTACAGTACACCATGCTCCGTTGCTCGAGTCAAGCAAGGCGCTAGCGCCCCCGCATTGCGGCAAGAACTCGGCTCTGCAGCGAATGGACGCGCATGCGTGGTCAAGGACTGAGGGGGCCGAGTTGTTGCGCATGCGTAGGCAGAGCTGCTGCAATTAGTTGACGCTGTGGTGGTGACTCCGGCGCAGATTCGAGCGGCCGCCAGAGATGCCTGATGCTCTCTTCTGAGGAGCGGCCAGCGTCGCAATGGAGCGGCCCAGGTCAGCCGTGCAGGTGTCTTCCCTCAGAGACAGCCTGGGGGACATTTTTGTTTGTTTGATGTTTCAGGTGTTCAGAATTTGGAGTACTGTCTTGGGAATCCGGGCCCTAAAGTTCTTTGTTCTGGAGAACCAGATGGGACACCTTTGGAGGCTTGGGGCTTGGCTCTACCTCACTGGACCGTGTCCTGCCCTCATCGTGTCTCTCTTGGCCCATCTGCATCATCCTATTGCATCCCGTTAGATCCTTTCTAGTGGGGCCCTTTGCCCTTGAGATCTGAGGGCGTGACCGCAGGTGCGGAGGGGTACGTGGTGTTGGCCGTGGTGCGTAGAAGGGGGGAAGAGCACGACAGGGAGGGGTCAGGGGGGGGGGGGGTCCGCAGAGATGGGGGGCAGTGACACGGTAGGGTGTCTATGGTTTTGGAGACAGTGGTGTTTGCAGGGGTGCCTACCATCGTGGTGGCAGGTGGAATACTCGTGGGCATCCATGGTGGTGATGGCGGGTGGGATACTTGTGGGCGTCCCTGGTGGCGGTGACGGTGTGTGGCCACCATGGCAGTGGTGGGAGGGGTGGAGGATGGGATGTTCACAGTGGTGGTAGTAGTGAGGGAGTGGCCGCAGTATCCATGCCGGTGGTTTGGGGTCAGTGGGGTGCTCACCATGGTGGTGATACAGAAGGGATGGCAGGGGGACCGCGGTGGCCATGGTGCGAGGGGACAGTGGGGTGGCCACGGTGGCAGTGGTAGGGAAGAGGTAGGGAGATGGTTACCGTGGCGGCGATACAGAGGGAGTGGCGGGGTGCCCACCGCGGCGTTGATAGAGGGGGCAGCAGTAGGGACGGTGGTGTGTGGGAGGGGCTTAGCGGAGTGGCTGCCATGGTGGTGGTGGAGCGATGGCGGTGGGCAGGGCGTCTGAGGTGGCGTCAGATGGAGAGGGTGGTATCTGGTGTACAGCCATTGGTTTGAAGGGAGTACGTTAAATATTCTGAGACCTGTGGCGGTCCTACAGTTTGCGTATTGTGGGGAACCTGTTGGCCCACATTCAGCTGATGGGATGGCTGCGGAAATGTTCACGTCTTTATATATTTTACTTATTGATAATCATTGGCTTTTGTGCTGTTGGTGTAAGATTGGGGATATCGTGTGCAGAACTTACTTTACGCATCTCGTGAGAGACTTGCCAGGTTCTGGGATGTGACACCGCCGGGACGTCTCCCTCGCACTGATTTTCCTTGCGTTCTGAACACAGTTCTCAAAGACAGGCGGTTGTTAAAGGCAGGCTCAGGCTCGCAAAGGTCCTATGCCGCGTCACAGCCATTGTGCGGCTCTCAAAGATGGCTGCCGCTGCAGATGCACGACTCTGCGCGTGCGCCACAGCTTGGAGGTGGCCACCCTCTCCCCGCCCCAGTGCTGCAGTGGGGGAGGGGCAGTTGTGCCGCTTCTGCAGGGAAGGAATTTCGGCTGCGCCTTCCCCAAAGTGCATTGCTGAGGGGAGGAGGCGGGCCTGAGTGGGCGGCCGCCCCTCTTCAAAGTGCCGCAGCTTGGAAGCAGGCGGGGTGCGCAGGCGCAGCAGAGATGACATCACCTCCGTCCAGCAGTAGGGCAGGCAACTGGGGAGGGGGTTTATGCATCCTGTCCCTGGAGGTGGTGGTAGCCACCTTCTTCACCTGTCTACTGCAGTTGATCCTTCCTTGCTGTGCTGCAGTGGAGGGAGGAAGAAAGAAGGGCACAGGTTTGCTCAGCCTCTGCCTTGCGGCCGCCCCCACTATATAAGAACGCAGTGGAGGGGGGAGGGCATTGAGGCCGGGGATTTTACTGGGAGGCGATTTGTACATTAGACATCTTATGGCTGGCGTACTGCTGCTTTTCTGCTGTGAAGTAGGACAGGTGTGGGGGCTTTGGATGCCAAAAAAGGCGAGGCCTTCCCAGGATCCACCGTTCTACTTAAGGCAGGCTTCGTCACTTGTGCTGGAGATTTTAAATGTTTCCTGAGTCTAGAAAGGCATACCTTTTCATTTTTGTTCTCCCTAGGATGTTTTGTGAGCAATCTTAATTGTTCTCCATGTTCAAAGAGCGTTCATTAGCTCGTAAGGCAACTCCCCTTCGTATAACCTTTGATTTCTAAGTGCATTCACCTTTGAGAGTTTGTCATATTTCTTAATCTCTGGATATTCTATTTGTGATGCATCCTTTAGAGATGATTTCCTTAAATCGGAGGATGAAGGCTCCTAGGAGCTAGAGCTGTAAGCTGTTTGCTCAAAGAGAAGAGAGGAGAGAATCAGAGAACTAGTAGGCTACAGGGCTGTGGGTGTACCTGGAATTAAGGAATTATAGCCCTTAGTGGGATTTTTAGATTAATGCTTTTTGAACTATCATTTTTGAAGTTGAAGCTCTTATGTAAATTTCGTGAGAAAGGATAATTAACATAATAACTTTTCTTGTATTCCATATTCTACTAGATTTTTTCCCTGACTTTTTTAAGGAATTCATTTTCCTTTGCAGGATTTTGATGTGCTTGCATTTTTTCTTCTCTGTTTTCATTCATAATAACCAGTGTGTGTGTCTGCTGAGTTGGAATGTCATTATGGGAAATAAATCCAGAAGCTTGAAAGCTTTGTTCTGGAATTGTTTCTTTTCGAGTAGTTGGAAAAACAGCAGGAGTCTGGAACTTTGTGATAGGATTTGCCCATTTTTCCTGCTTGTACGAAGATAATTGCTTCAAATATTTATATTTTGGTTTAACTTATCATTTGACTTTCTGCGCGATGAGCGAGTTATCCTGGTCCGCCATTTTGTAGTCTTTTACTTAGGTTCAGGATCTCAATATGGCGGATCCCTTTGGAAAGACCTCTGAAGCTGTAGGGCCTCTTTTCTGCGTAGTGAATGTTTGGCTTAGTACCAAGGCTTTTTGAAAATTAGGAGGGAATGTGAGCCCATCCTGTGATTTAGACCAAGGAAACTTAGTCGAGGTACTGTTTTGTTGCTCTCTAAGGCAAGATACTATCTGGTTTGGCTTTATTCAGTTTGTTTTCTATTATCTTGGTTTCCCAGTGTTCTGTCTGGTGTTTCATTACTGAAATATTTTCCCTGTATGTGGTTACACTGCATCTTTATTCCTCTGTTTCCCTCTTGCTTTTCTTAATGTGCTTAGATTTGTTTTTAACAAATGTCACATGTAAGATATAAGGCCTCTAAATTAATCTCTTAACTTTGACACTTCACTTTGCTACTTAGCTGTTTTTAGGAAGAATCTGTAAGCAGGGTATAAGTGCTGCCTCAACGTGACAGGAGACAGTGAGGTTTTTAATCCTCTTTCAGTATACATTAGAACTTTATTGCTAGTCTTGTCTGTCCCCTCCACTTTTGGGGACCAGAGCCAGGAAGCTTGAGTAAGAGTTTTGGATGGTTAAGGCAGCCTGCTTCACTAATAAAGATTGGGCGTGGAAATTATTTATTTTGTCTGGAGTTTTGGAATTCTGGCTGGTCCAGAATTCTTTTTTGATGATTCCACAGGTTTTGTTATGAAGCACTGATTTTCTTGTTTGTGGAAAGATCTGAAGACTGGGATCATCTCACATTATCTTCTTAATTTTTATTTTACATTTTTGATATCTTAGTTGAGTTTTTAAGGTCTTTTGGCGGGAGTCTAAGGCATATTAAATATTTGATAACATATTAGGCACTTTGGGAAAACACTCATCACTTTTTGCTTTTCAGTGTATTTCCAAATTAGTATCTTTTTTTTATGAAAGTGATTTTGGAGCAAAAAATTAACATTGTGTACATATAACAACTTTTTTTCCGTTAAATGCTTAATTTTCTGAAATACTGGTTTCTGGTTTGGGAAAGCAGTTAGGAACATTTTAAATGCATGTGTGTGGGGGGGCTTATGTAGAACAAACCACTATTTTAGAAATGAAGCTACTCATAAAGGATTTTGCATATAGCTTTGAAAAATTGATTTGGGTAATTGAATAGAACAGTTTTGTACACTGGTTCTTTTCTCAGTTGAACTCAGACCTTTTCATACTGAGGCAACTGATGAAGGCATAAAGAAACTGAATTTTTTTTTTTTTTGGTAATGGGGTGTTCTCAGTTACACTATTAATTGTAATCAGTGGTCTGTGACACAGGAGAGGCATATGATATGGTCTCTTTTGTTGTATTAGATTAATACAATATTGTATTACATTAATAAATATATTTGGGAAACTACTGTGTGGTTTCATGAGTCAAGTACTTCATTCCTTTTTATGTCTGAATGGCATTCCATTGTGTGGATATACCATATGACGTTGTATTTTGTTTATCATTGATCAATAGTTGTACTTTGAGTTGTTTCCACTTTTTGGTTATTATGATTAATGCTGGTAGGTACATTCATGCTCAAGTGTCTGTGTTTTTACTTTACTCCATTAAGGAGTGGAATTACTAGATCAAATGATAACTACATTGTTAACATTTTTAGGAAATGCCGGAGGCTGTACCATTTTACATTCCCACTAACAAGTGTACACAAATCCTCCTCTATTCCTGTGGTATACATTCATGGTTTTGATTTGCATTTCTCTAATGACTGTAATGATACTGATCATCATTTCTAGTGCTGATGGAGATTTGTATATCTTTGGAAAGCAGCCTGTCAAATCCTTTACTCATTTTTAAGTTGAATTTTTAAATTTTATTTTCGAGTTGGAAGAGTTTTTTACATATTCTGGATACTACATTTTCATTAGTTATGTGATTTGCAAATATTATCGCCTATTCTGTTAGTTATTTCTTCACTTTCTTAATAGTGTCCTTTGAAGCAAAGACATTTTTTATTTTTGGTGAAATTGACTTTATGGATTCCTCTCTCATTAATTACTCTAGGTATCACATGCTTTGCTAAGCAAAGGTCAAGGAGATTGGCAAAGTGTATACTTTTATCATTTAGAAATCTGGTATGTACATGAGTGATTTTTTTCCAAGTGATCTTTTTCTCTTGCTTGTTTAGAACATTAGGTTTTTGAAGCAATAAAACAAGTTGGGGTTATTGGTAAGCTATTTGGGTTACTTTGCGTAGTCTAACATGAATTTTAAAATAAGGTTCAGGGAATTAGCTTTTGGGATATGTGCTTTGAATTCTGCCTTTGAAATACTACGTTGCATGACTTTTGTAAAATATCTTTTGTTCTGTCCTTTCTGGTTTAACATTCTTTGATTTTAGGTTTATGATTAGTTCCTCTAGTTTCTAATATGGATGACCCAAGTGGAAGATTTCTTGCGTAGATCCCTTGAGCAGCCATTTTGTAAATTGCTCTGCAGCTCAGAATACGGCAGAAGCAATGTTTTTATTTTTATTTTTTTTGTTCAAGCAGCCCTTTTGTTTCCTGTTATGAAAATCCTAAGCAAGCAGCAATGTGTAGGAGGTTGCTTAAGTAGGCATTTTGTAATTTAAACTTAATGCTTTTTCCACCATACAAAAGGATCTATCTGTTCTAAATATATTTTAAACCGTTTTTGGAATCAACATTGCTATTGGGGGGCGGAGATATGGGTCGTATGTCCATGTAACTAAATATAGCTCTGTAAGTGTATAGTTTTATATCTGTATGTGTGACAGTAAGGAGAAATAAATATTTTATTTTTGCTTAATTGGTATTTTCCCCCCAGCTTTTCTGATGTGAAGGGACTTCTAAAGGGAGAAAGTGGTTTTTGGTCAGATCCTGACTATTGGAGAATAAAGAACTTCTAATAATTTAATTATACATTGCCCCCCTGTTTTATTGAGATATAATTAACATACATTACCGTACTTTGTTTTAGTTAGATTATGGGCACTTGACTCCAGACATGTTAAAAATAGCTCTAAAACTAACCTTTAAATAAATGATTATTTCAGGAATTCATGAAACTTATCAAACAAATCCATCTTTTCGTTTCAGGGACCGCTTACACCTGAGACGGACTACGGAACAGCACGTACCAGAGGTTGAAGTGCAAGTCAAACGTAGAAGGACGGCCTCACTGAGCAATCAAGAGTGAGTACAGTCTGGGTTGAGAACCAATTTAATTAGAATCCTTTATCAAATTGGAACAAAGTATCATGCAATGATGGGATTGAAATGAGGTTAATTAATAAAAGATACACATGACTGTAATCCAGAAGATGGAGCAAAAAAGCAATGAAATCATCCTTAACCATGTAGTCCTAACTTAACTCAATTTCTGTTAAAATTTTAGTAAAATATATTTCCTTTTTTTCCATACGTGTGTTATGTGGGTTTTATCTTTATAAAATTCTACATCTGTCAACATATTTATATTTAAATTATTTCTGCTTTATTTTTGATGTTGTTACTAAATCACTTTTTATATGCTTGCAAAATGTTCTGTGTACTAAAGGGATGTTAATTTATGCATTCATGGTTGCTCTGCAATATTTAGATTTTTATTTGGTTAGTGCATTTATCCAGTTAAAAATTTGAACTACATACGTTTTTCCCTCTCCTTATTTGGGATACATACACATATACACACACACTTTTAAATTTAGGTTTCCAGAAGGGTGTTTTAATTAAAAACGTGAACATTTTTAATGACCTGGTAGCTATTGAGTATACATTGAATCTTTTGCATTTTGTCATTACCACAAATCTTGGCAGTGTCAGTGGGCAGCATTTCTTTTTTCTTTCCTAAATCGGTTTTATTAGATTACCTTTCAAGATGACAAATATTAATAATATATGAATGTAGTTTTTTTGTAAAACATAATTTTGAGATAAAAAGTAGGTATTTTCAAGTCACACCAGTCCAGTCCCTTTTCTTCCCCAGAGGTAATACTCAGGTACTTTGATCTTTGTCCTTTCTGCCCTTTTCTTATGCATTCATGTGTATATACACACACGCACCTATGGAGGGGAGCGGGAGAGAGTCATATTTGTGATTTGTTTGTTTACATACATGAGATTTGTTCTATAACAATATGCCTTGGGCATCTTTCCATGTAAGTGCATATGAGTCTACTTTATTTTACAAACTGCAGAGTTTGGTGGTGGAATAACAATTTATCATTTGCTTACTGATGGATATTCAGGTTGTTTGCATTTGTTAGCTATTATAAACAAAGAATATAAGAGCAGTCAATCTGAAAATTAATATTAGTTATTACTATTTGCGTTTTATCTCCTCAAATCTAAAGCTTTTAAAAACTTGTTTTAAACATTGAGTAGCATTTTGTCTTATTTTTGTTATTTTCTCATTTTGCATGTGAAAAATTGCAATATATGTATGTGTTAAATTACTGGTGAGGCTAAAGATTTCACCATTTTTCCCTGTTTATTTTGTTTACTCTTTTGAGTTCATTCTTTATTACATTTTTATTTTGAAAATTACTTTGAAAAGGAGTATTTTATGAATGAACATTTTATATAATTTGTCTTTTATAATAGGATGTTTGCCTATTATTTTTCTTTTATATGGTGATTTATTTTTTCTCTTCGGTCTTTTGTAACTCTAGGGATTTTAAAAGTGCCATTTTTTCCCCAGAATCTCTAGAAATATCTTGAGGTACTTTAGAGACTGTGTTTGAGGTATAGGTAGGAGGGATTTCTTGGGGGAGGATCTTTTGTTAGTGAATGAAGGTTCTATCATATTTGTTATATTTTGTTAGTTTTTATCCTATGCAGCATCAGCTTGGATCAGAATGACAGGTGATCTCATGCTTGTCTTGTTTAAGTCTTCTTTAGGTGTCATTTTCTTGTCTATATCTATGGAAACATTTTGTAGCTTTCAAAGAAGCAATAACTTCATTTTTCTGACCTCTGCTGTAAAAGCTATGTATAAATACTACAGGGTGCTAAATTAGGGGAGGGATCTGAGAGAAGTTTTGGGTTAGGGAAATAGTGTAATTTCCCTAGTCATCTGTCTCTGCTTTCAGAGTAAGTAGATTATAAGAATGGCTAAGCACTATGGATAGTCTCTAAGCCGTGCTTTAATGATACATATGCTCAGGATTCTCTCAGAATTAGGACATTTAATAGTTAGAATCTCAGTGTTCATTTTAATAATAATCCATCAGCCCACCTTTTCCCAAGCCGTAAGTACCAGGAGTCAGTATTCCTAAGGAATTGTGTGGGTACCAGTTCTAAAGACCAATAAAGGATTGCTATTACTATCCATCCAAAAAATACAAAACAAAGTTGAGTAAAAACCCAAACAAGATGCAGACAAAACATCCCACAAACCCTACATTAAGTATTAATAAAGGTTCATTGATTTGCATTCCCGAATTGATGGTTATTCTGTCTTTTAGTGGATCATCAAATCAGCTCTTGTTCTTTTGGACCAAAGAATGTTTTCCTCATTTCTTGATGTATTTGAGTTTGGGAGAAATTGGAGATTGGGTCTGGAGAGTCCCCTGAATCTCTTTCATGCACCTTTTCAACTGTCTTTCTAAAGTTATATTCTGCATTTTTTGAAGTAAATGCTGTGTACTGCATCTTATTTTCTCAGTCTTACCTTAGTCTTCAGTTGGGTTTCAGGTTAAACCCAAGAAGGGCACTGCTATAGGAGTTAGAAGAAGGGAAAAGAAAGGGTTTTTTTGGAGGGCTGAAACACTTTTTTGAGAACCTTGTTATGTCAGAGCACGCAGGCAACCTTGTTGCCGTTTGGTAACAGAAGGATTGGAACTGAGAATGCCCAAGATTTTAATTGTTCAGTCATTGGAATGGGAAAATCTAAAGGAATGAGCAATGCAATTCTGACCCTTACTACCTAGAGTTAGGGCAGACTTGACAGGTTAAAGGCACAGTCTCTCTGTATCTCAATTTAGATACCAACTTCAAGTCCAAGGTTTCTAGGCTACCTGTACATCTCAACAGGTAGATACAGATTCTAGGTTTTCACTATTCCCTCAGGTTCCATAATTTGTTAGAATGACTCACAGAGCTCAAGAAAGCACTATACTTACTATTAATTTTATTATAGAGGATACAGATTGGGATATGCCAGTGAGGAGACCCATAGGGAAAGATCTGAAGCTTCCATGTCATCAGGCTGTGATAATCTCTCAGCATATCAATGTATATCATCACCCAGGCAAGGTCACCAGAACTTTGCATGTCTCTAGTTTTTATTAGTGTTTCGTTATTTAGATGTGATTGATTGAGTCACTGGCTCATGATTGAACTCCACCTCACTCAATTTCCATCTCCAGTCCTTTCCCAGGACGTCAGGCTCTACGCCCCAGCCCTCTATTCAAGAGGTGCCAGCCCCAATCCCATTATCTTTTCAGCGTTAACTCAGGTGTGATCCAAGGCACCCACCGTGAATAACAGAATACACTCCTGTCACTTGATAACCTCTAAAATCCCTGAATTTATCTTCCAGGAACCATGGACAAAGTCCAGCCTCATTCTTTATTATATAGCACAGTGTTAAAGATGTTATTTAAAAACTACGGAAAGTAGTGGAAAACCTTTTATCACAGTCCCATTTCCAAATCCAACTGCTGTTGAATATTTTCATATATATAATGCTTGTCAACAAGGGCAGGATTGCTGGGGATTTATTTTCTCTTGCTTGTCTTTTTAACCAGCAATCTGAGATTCACACCAGATTACTGATCCATGTGGATATACTGAGGGCTTTTTTCCAGAACTTCCTCCTAACAGATAGTTTGTTTATGAGATTTGAGAGCCTAAACAGCCTGAGTCCTGGACTTTTTTTGTTTCAGGTAGTGATTTCTCAGGAGGATCAGTATGGATGACAGCCTTAATGTCTCAATGGAAATGCCTACGCAAGTGTACCACCGTCTTACTAGCGGTTAGAGAGTGGTTTTGAGATAGGATGATTGGAAAGTGAGTAATGGATATGGTACTGATGGCATTTCCACAGGGCTTTTTAAACCAAAAGAGCTTTTTTTTTTTAGTTACGTGGTAGTATCCCCAAAGTGGGTAAGTATACCTCAGTTCCTTGTACATTCCTGTATGCAGAGAGAGACTGCTGTTTCCTGTTTTATGATTTCTTCATGAGGTAGTGGCATGCTCTGACCCAAATGAGAATCTCTTTGAATGTCGTAAGAATCTCTACGTTTTCTTCTATATTTTTATCTATATAGTCAAAAGACTTTTCATTTATATGTATTGTGCTCTTGTCATAGGTGTCAGCTGTACCCGAGGCGATCTCAGCAACAGCAAATACCTCTGCTGGATTTCCAGGCAGAACTGAGACAGGCATTCTTAGCTGAGACACCAAGAGGTGGTTAAAACAGTATTGGAACATCCAGGTAGCTGATTGTAAGTGAAAAACCTGGTTAGAGCTGATGAAGTCATGATTGGTAATAAAGAAATAATTAAAGAATAGAGTGTTTGGAGGTCACTTAATTATATAGGATATTTTAAAGGCAATTTTTTTCCTTAGGAGCTTCTTACAATAAAAACATTGCAGCAAGTTTAAAAAAGTAAAAGCAGGACTTTAAGGCTCTTGCTCTTAGACTTTATAATGTTTCTATATTACTGTCCAGTCATTGCCATGCATGCTTTTTAGGTGGTTTTATTCACATTTAACTTGTATTGATTTTCAACTTTATATGAAAAGTATTTCATTACAAATGGCTGCTGAATATTCTGTTAATGAATGTTTTATAGTTCCCTTTTGTGAGACTTCATTTTTATTTTTGCTGGTAGTTTGAATAAAGCTTCAGTGAATTGCTTTGCATAAAACATTAGATAGGATCCTTTCCTCAAATATGCAGATATGAAAATAAATTGAGTCAAGGACTATAAACTTTAAGATACATTTTCTAAATTGTATTGCAAGGTATTATATTAGTCTTTATTGCCTTGAAAAAATAGTGCCAGTTACAATAGACTTTTACCTACATTGGTTATTTTGATTACATATCATTTGTCTTTATTGAATTATAAATAACACATCACATTCATTGGGAGATAAGCTTAATTTCCCCATACTTATTTACTAATTATTCTTGTTTCTCTTTTTCTCACTGTTTTGTTTGAATCAGCTGACAGTATAATAAAGCTGTTATCCATGATTTTTTAATGTGATGTAGATTTATTTAGTCTCTTATGTTGGTTGTTTACATTTTTAAGAAAAAGCTATTCAGAAGTTGATTTTGATTTAGTACTTTGTTTCTTTTTTGTGACTTTTTTTTAATTTTAAGATTTGAAGGACCTCAATCCCAAGAGTTTAATATATGCTTTTTAGAAACTAAGAGATGAAGGGGGTTTATAGATGAGTTTTCTTCTAGATTTTCTTTATTTCTGTTTTGAAATATTACCCCTCAACTCAAATGATTTAGGTCTGTTTCCGGCCACCATTTTGAGTTTCAGAGCAATGGATTAAAAATAAGTTATCTGAGAAAAACCCTCCCTTGCTGAATCCTGTCCCCAGCATTCTGTAGTAATTGCCTGAACTTGATTGTAAGACAATGGAATCTGATTCTTGTCCCCAGCACTTGTTCCCCAGAGTAAGGAAATTTTTAAATGAGCAAGTAGGAAAAATTGAATTTTTTTTTAACCAGGAATTTTTTGGCTCCTCAATGCAGTTCACATACTTGAGTAAGTTCCTAAGTTTACTATTTGAAACAAATATTATGATGTATAAGTAGGACTATCTCATTTTTTGGTATTATATTTTATTCTAGTCTCCAGTACTAGTTTTATGTAAATAATTACTAGTTACTAGGATTACTTTAGAGCAGGGGTTGGTAAAGTATCTGACCCACTCACTGCCTGCTTTTCTGAATAAAATTTTATGGGTACACAACCATGTCCAATTATTTTTTACATATGGTCTATTGCTGTATTGACTCTACAATGGCAGATTGAAGTAGTTGTGACAGATTGAATGGCAGGCGGAGCCTAAAATATGAAGTAAGCATTACAGGGTAGAGAACTAGATGAATTTCCGGAGCAAGGGTCAGGTCTAAGAATCATGTTATAGTCAGCTATACATGCAGATGAGTAGTTTTTAAAGACATTTTAACAATTGATATGTTCCTTTTTCATTATAAAAATAAAAATCTAAAGCATGTGAGTGATAGCCAAGAAAAATGAGAAAGTAAACCAAAGACATCCTATACCTATGTTTCAACCACAGCATGAGGTTGATTTTTTTTCCCATTTTCCCCATTTGTTATTCTTTTGAAAATATAGTTAGTTGGAATCATGCTTTTAAACTAATTTATTTTCTATTTATTCCACTTAAGTGTATATCATTAATGTTTCGCCATTTTATTACATAGTCCACAAAATTATCATTTTTAATGAATAAAAGATAGTCCATTCGTGATTTACTTTCTCTTGTACTTGTGTGTTTTTTTTTTTCTAGTTTGCTATGCTATGATGAATGTTGTATGTTTTTGAAGCTATATTCAGTACCTTAAATTTATTGGATAAGGATCCACTTGTGAGCTACATAAATATTAGTATGGGTATAAATACTAGTATGACTCTTAAATATTTTGTTATGTTACTTTCTAACAGCATTATGTAAGTAGTGTTGATTGCCATCAAGAATAATTACTAGAGTGTTAGTTTCTCAGTACCACCTTTGGTATCTTTTTTGATAAGTAATTCCAGGAAAGGAAAATTATTTTCTCGTAGTTTTAGCTGGCAGTGCTTTGTGAACGCATATTTTCCATTTAGTTATGTTTTCTCCTGTTACTTGTTAAACTTTTTTGTGCGTTTTTCTGTGAAGGGTTTGTTATTTTACCAGCTTTGAGTGAGCGCTAATGCGTTACCGTTATTCCTTGATTTCTCATTTGTTGTATGTGCCTTGGTTGAGTTCTCACCATCTTATCTTTTGACTTAAAGAAGCTTCACATTCTTATGCAGTTTAATCATTTGAAAGTCCACACTTAACCAAAAGTTTGATAACTTGATGTGAAAGATCTGAGGATGTTTGAGTCAGGGACTCATGACCATTTATTTGCTTATGAGCCCTTTGATGTAAGGAGATTTACCGTAACTTGTAATTCATCAAGTCAGTGTGATGTTGCTGCTCCTCTTCTCCTCTGTCTCTTGAGGCATTTTGTTCTCCTTTGCTGTGGATATAAATTTGATCATTCTACAAATGATCTCCTTTTCTTTATAAGGGTTCATGATTATGGTTTGCTAAGTTTAGGGACGGGAGATAACTGTTCCTAAAATTTAAGTCCGTCTCACTAAGGCAAGGAAATTTTGTTTGAATTTGTTGATTTCTTCCAGCTAAACTGTATGAACTAGGGCTGGACGCTATGTGTTCACTGAAATGCCAAGTGGGATAGAACATTTGAAACTGATCCAGATGGGGAAATCTGTACTCTAAATCTTTTTGGCACCTGAAGATAAAAGCTTTGTCTCTGAATTTCAAACTTTTACTGGAGAAGTGACTTAGTACAAATTCCTACCTTAAAAGCACATTTCATGCTGGTCCCATTACATTAATTTTACACAAGAAATTGTATTGTGATTACATTTTATTCCTTTGAATGAAATCTTGAAAAGCTGCATCCACCGCTACTGTTTTTTCTTTTGTTTTTTTCCAAATAATCGCTGTCTTGTTCATTGTCTGGTAGTATGTCTCAGTTGTTGGTAAGGGAGTGTGTTCCAGTAATAGTGTTTTGTTGAATGGTTAGCTGTTCTATTTTTGCACCAATGACAATACAAAAAGTAATCTTAGGAACTTTATACTGTATTTGAAGGTCCTGACATTTTATTTTTTTAGCTTTATTGATGTACAGTTTGTATACCATAAAATTTAACCGTGTATAGGTCAGCGATTTTTTTTTTTTAAGTAGATTTATAGAATTTCTTAACCTTTGCCACAGGGTACTTTTAGGACTTTGCAATACCGAAGTCAGACCCCTAGTAACCATTAACATTCATTCTCTATTTTCACCCTGTAGTTCAGGCACCACTTAATTTACTTCCTGTCTTCATGGATTGCTGAAGATCCTAAATCTATAAAAATGAAAATTGCTAATGATTCAAACATGTGCCAGGTATTCCTGGATTTCGACACTGTTTTATAGAGAATTCTGAACATGTAAATGATAGGTCTTAAACTTACTCAAGTGGGTTTAGGTCAGAAACTACATTTATTGGGCAAGGAGGTGTTAGTCTGCTGATTTGAATAGATCTTTTGAGATCTTTACTTATCAGTGTTTTGTTATCAGTGTTTTGTAAAACATTAATTCCTGTATTGCAAATATTGAATGCCAGACATGGAGCTAGCCCTGATGTCATTCTTGTATCTTTGAGGACTAAGTTGGGTAGGTAGGAGAAGGGACAAGTACATAGATAGTAGAATCAGTTATGATGAGTGTTCAGAGGAGTGTTGACACTGTGTTGAGGGTATACATAGATCGTCTTCGAGGAAAAACTGCACAAAGGATGCATAGCAGTTTGCATATGGAGAACAAAGTTTGGGAGATATTCAGAGTATTGCTCAAATTTATTTTTTAGATAATCTGATATCCTCAAAGTTCCCATAGAAGATTTATTTAACTGCTGTCAGCTTTTGGTAGTTATAGAGAAGCATCCCTTCATCTTACCACCCTTACTGAATCATTTCTTTCATCCCATTTTGTTCTCTTCTGATCAAGTGTCATACAGTTCCACATGGAAAATGGTGTCCTCAAAACATGTCTTTTACTTTATTATTCTGATGTTCGTTTAGTTCTTAACCACCATTTAAATAATTTCATTTTCACATCCTGAAATAGAGGATTCAGAATTTACTTAAGTTTACTTTGCCAGTTGCATATTTTCTCTATTGAAAACAGTGGAGAACAATCTTACTGGAAATATTTGCACTGTTAAAAGTGCAGTTGGATTTGTTTATGATACTGGGCTACTTTTAGGCATAAAGCCAACTTCCCATTCAAAAGTAATTTGTTTCCTTTTTTAATGAATATAATCAGTAGTTTGAGACTGTTTACCATTTTTAGCTAGATTTCGTTGCCATACATAATAAAAGCATTTTATTTAGTATATTTGGGAAAATGACAATATTATTATAATACATGTTCGTTTGATCACTAAGAAGATTGCCCATAGTATCCCATATAAGCATTCAGTAGTTGTTATGTCAGCTTTTAACATAGGAAGTCTTAAGCAGGTACATGATGAAATCTTAAGCAGGTACATGTTAATACATTTGGTTGTTGGTGAAGAAAGATTACCTAGCTTTATTGTGAAGCTTTATTATTCATGTGTGTGGGAACACTGAGGTTGAAAATGTTTAGTGGGTTCAGCCAAGAAGCAAAAAACTAACTCAGGAGTAATTCAGATGAAGAAACTCAAGCATATCAAAATGTTGAAGTTGAGATAATTGGTGCTAACTTGAGGCTAGAGAATGAAGCGCTACCTTAAATAAGGATGGAAAGAGAACCATTTTGAGAATGGAAATGAAGTTTATTTTTGAAACCTTTAAGAATTTTTGTGTAAAACTTTGTTAATCTTAGGTGCATAAAATGTAGGTGTTAAGGTGAGGGAATAGTGAAATTTGTTGTTTACTTGGTGGGTGTGGGAACATGGGGGAGATCTTTTTGAATATGTCTGTTACAGTGATTTCATGAAAAAGTGTCTGCCTGTTTTAAAATATGGTAGATTGCAGTGCTGCAAGATCATGCTTTCCTCTGCAGGCTCCATCTACTGTTTGAAGCTTCTGCCCCAGCTTGCGTTGTTTGTAGGAGAACCTGCATCATCCTTTTATCTGTAGCCTTCCCTTAGGTCTTAAAGATCCTGACACTTTACTGCGGACGTTGGATTTGGAGAAACAGCAATCATGGTAAGATGTATATTAGGGTAGGGGCATGAGAAGCTACTGTAAGGGCCCGACACAATGGTTTGACAGAACGTGGGGTGATTTGGAGTTCTTAATGTTAGGAATAAGGTATCTATAGAGATGGTATCTCATTGCATGGAATAACAACTGGAGAAGAGCTATGTCTATTATCCTGTTACAGTGATACATGGTTTGGAGGACATTTTTACAGTGATCTTATAATGTGAGAAAATACAGAAGAGAGTTTTTGGTGATAATTACAGTAGTAAGGGACCATTCTGCAGGTGGGAGATTCAGGTCAGGTTACAATAGACATAAAGTCTACTTAAAAAACGGAAGTGTTTGGGGCTTTGGGGCGTCATTGTTATAAAGGAAAGCAGTCTGTAAAGAAGGAGACAGCATCCTAATCAATTTTGTGGTTCTGTTAAATTTTGGAAAATCTAGAGGATGTATTTTCAATGGGAAGGATATCCTAAGGAGACGAAAATTGGTTCTTGAGGAGATTTTCTTGAGAAAAGTCTTTGATTTTACTATGGTTTGTGGCCTTCCAAAGGGTCAGAATATGTAGAGAGATAGCATATGAGCATATTAAAATTTCAGTGGAGTGGGTGATTAGGATAAAAATGTTTTAAAAAGGTGCCTTAGTAGGACAAAAATGAAAGAGAAAAAAGTTTGAGAAGCACTGATAAAAGTTCTAAATGATATGGGATATGGGTTGTGATGGAACTAGGGCAGAGGCCTTTGGGGAACTAAAAATTTGTGCACTGTATTTGCATTGGGTTGATGGGAGTTTTTGGAGGTGGGAATTTCCCATTGTTTGGCTAGTGTCTGGGGGAAAAATAGTCCACAGGGTCAACTGTTCCATAGGAGGGTTGGATTTGGGATTAGAATTGGGAGAGGAGGATTGGAATGATGGAATACTAAAGGGGAACTGGCTTGGGAATCTCAGTTGGGGAGTAAATATATTTAGGATGATGGGAAACTGCATAGGGAGAGATTCTGAGAAGTAGAGAGATCCATTGAGGAGTATATTGGTCCTGGGTCCAAATTTTGTCCCGGATCTTGAAAAGGTGGGGAGGAATGTTGGAGAAAATGTGGAAGGGGGGATGTGTTAGGGAAACCAGATTTGGATTGGTATAGGAGTGAGGAAGAAATGCGATAGGATTAGAAAATAGCTGCAGATAAGCTGATGACTGACTCTTCTCTTACCCCTTCCAGACTGTAGGAAAGAGCAGTAAGATGCTGCAGCACATTGACTATAGAATGAGATGTATCCTACAGGATGGCCGAATCTTCATTGGTACCTTTAAGGCTTTTGACAAGCATATGAACTTGATCCTCTGTGATTGTGATGAGTTCAGGAAGATCAAGTAAGACCACTTTGGGTTTGGGTAATGGAAGGTTGAGGGAAAGGCACAATATAGGGGTAAGGGCTTATACAGGATAACTGAAGGAGGCAGGGAAAATGTGGCAAGGCTGGTGTATTGTCTGACCACCTGGCCTCTTCTCTGAATTGAATCAGTCTCCCTGTCTTAAAGTTACTGTATCGACACTACTTAAGTTTCCAAATACAATCATGAACTTAACTGAGAATAAAACTGTACAGTGCAATCAAAATATCAAGTTATGTTTATCATAAAAATTGAGGAATGTTCTTAATTGGTTGGCTTCTGCAGCATTCCTTCAGACTGAAGGAATCTTAAGAACAACAATTTCTTTTCATGATTGAGGAGTTGGGATGTGATTAGAGTACTCCGTGCCAGGTCTAGCACTTTTCATCCAGCCTCTTCTCATGCCCCTTTTTTTGGTCTGAATCATGTTCGTTGTTGGTTTGCTGTCAGTCTCTCCTTTTGCTTATTTATTTGTCTTTGTGATTTACCCATTTCATTTATTCATGACTAACCTCTGTATGCTTGAACCTTATCACATGAGGCCACTCTCTTTGTACCTGTGATTGGGGAGCTTCCTTTAACAGGGTGCTGTTGGACTACATGCAACAAGAGCATAGAACTCGGCATCCTACTTTCACTCAGTTGACATTTTATTTGGAGTATTTGGGTCGGTGCTTGTAATATCTCTGTATTTCCAAGATGACTGTGTTTCAGACTCTTATATTGGGGCAGAACTTAACAATGGATCACCTTGACCCTTGGCTTGATTTCCTCTATTCCCACAGTTAATGATACAGTGTTCAGAAATTTAATTTGCCCACTTCACTTAGGATTATTAAATATAAAGAAAAAGGTGATATTCAACATTGCCTGCCTGCTGTAGTCTTAAGTCTTTTCTTAGTCAAATTTGAATAGAATTCATAGCATAGTCCTTGTCTTTCCCTTTTTATTTCTTCCTTTTTTTTTTCTTTTTAAGATTGGCACCTGAGCGTGACATTTGTTGCCAAGCTTTTTTTTTCTTCTTCTTTTCCCCAAAGCCCTCCAGTACATAGTTGTCTATTCTAGTTGTAAATCCTTCTGGTTGTGCTATGTGGGATGCTTCAGCATGGCCTGATGAGTACTGCCATGTCTGTGCCCAGGATCCAAACTGGTGAAACCCTGGGCCACTGAAGTGGAGTGCACTAACTTAACCACTCGGGTGGCCCCTCATTTATTCTTAATCTCCTTCCTGTACACCAAGTTTGATAATTCCAGAAATTCTGGATGGTAGATGCTTCAGTGTTAATCTTTTTTTGTTTAAATATTCCACTTCTTTACTGGAAATAATAAAAAGCCTTATGATGTTGATAAACACTAAAGGCATTTGATGAAAGCTTGGCATATTCTTAATTTGTCTGTTTCACTCTTAAGTTACAGGGATAATTTCATCAAAATAATGCTTTAAGGTCATGCATTTTTGTCTGGTAGTACTCACTGGGGTTTGTTGAATGGCATTGTGTCACTTGCTTTTACACATGATATAATCGGCATGCATGTATGGTGTTTGCTGCTGACAGTGGAAGAAACTAGAATCACAGAGGTTTTTATTTTTTTTATTTTTCATGGTTATATAGTAAGTGGTAAGGCCAGAAATACACTTGCCTCTTACTTTTCCCATTTCTTTAGTTGTCTGCCATCAAGATTTACTTACTAGGTAAAAAATTATTTTAAAAGATTTACTTTGCATCTTAACATATGAAAACTGAGGTTTCAGTTTTGTCTTTCTTGAGTCTTAGCCATGCCATTTGCATCTGTGTTTCACAAAGAGGAAATGTTTTGCTATAGTAGAACATTGAGGGAATATTCTGGAGGATTAAAGTTTGACAGCAAAAGAGCTTTACTGTTCACCTTTATCAGTTGAGTCTAGATTTTTGGTCACAACTCAGTAACTGTTTGAGCCTGAGCATCTTGGCATCTGTTATTATCTTAATTGATTCCTAATGATCTGTAAATATTTTAGAGTAGAATAATCCCTAACTTATCTTACTGAAGTTTACTTCTGATTTATAGGCCAAAGAATGCGAAGCAGCCAGAGCGTGAAGAAAAGCGAGTTTTGGGTCTGGTGTTGCTGCGTGGGGAGAACTTGGTTTCCATGACTGTGGAGGGACCACCCCCTAAAGATGTAAGGAAGGTGTAGGGCAGGACAGAACATTAATGTGGAAGGGCATCACGTTACTTGAGATGTTTGCTAAAGCAGAGTACAACAGAGGCACAGTATTATGTACCTTTGTCAAGTAAAGTGTACCCAGCACTCGATGTCAGTTCTTGCTTGTCTATGCTTGAGGATTAAGGGTTTTCTGATGAATGCTTTTATGTGCTGGGTACTACCTAGATAAGGGAAGGAGCTTCTGATTTACTTTCTATTGGTAGGGTCATAAAAATATATATACTCATAATTTGATGAATGTGCATTTAATCTGCAGAATGCCTCCATGGTGCACTTCTCCATTTATTCCTTTGAATACAGAACTAATTTGAGATAGGTCGTGTGGGAAAATGGTGGGAAGGAGTGATCTTTTAGGAATAAGATTAATGATAAGTTTGGTAAATCATTTGATTTCAAGCTATAATTTTTCTTGTTTCAGACTGGCATTGCTCGAGTACCACTTGCTGGAGCTGCAGGAGGCCCTGGCGTTGGCAGGGCAGCTGGCAGAGGTGTTCCAGCTGGTGTTCCAATACCCCAGGCTCCTGCTGGGTTAGCAGGCCCTGTTCGAGGGGTTGGGGGGCCATCCCAACAGGTGAGGAACCAGGAGAAGGTTTTATATTATTGGGAGAAAGTGTCTAGAACTCGAGGCTGAGGAGATTTAAAAGCCTGAGTGTATACCCTCTACTGTGTAAGCAGCATATGCTATAGAGAGAACTGAGACACAAATACACATTAAGAAGGGAATAGATTAAAGCCATCTTGATATGAGCAATTTACCACTATTGGTGAGTAAAGAGAAATCTGGGTGGATAAAACAGAGTTGAGGAAATGCAAAAGGACTTACTAAATTAGAGGCATATTCAATTTAAAAGGGAATGCGTTAGTGAGCCAAGATTTTTTAAATGAGAATAATGGGAGAAGTGCAAAATTGCTGTAACAATTTCATATTTAATTAGGTCATGGACCACCAGTTATTTTCTGTGTTTGAGTAACGTGAGGATGTGTCTTACCTTTAATGTTTTTCTTTTTAAATTTTTTGTAAAATTGAGAGTCATAATAGTTTACATCATTGTGAAATTTCAGTTGTGCATTATTTCTTGTCTGTCACCACATAGGTGCTCCCCTTCACCCCTTATGCCCACCCTACACCCCACCTTTAATGTTTTTCTGACCGTGCCTTCTCAGGTAATGACTCCACAGGGAAGAGGCACTGTAGCAGCTGCTGCAGTTGCTGCTACTGCCAGCATTGCTGGAGCCCCAACTCAGTATCCACCAGGACGGGGGACTCCACCCACACCTGTGGGCCGAGCAACCCCACCTCCAGGTAAGGAATTGATGAACAGGAAGTAAAAGAATTTGGTTACGAGCTATAGGTAGGGGTCTGTGAAGAGATTGTATCATCTTGAGGAAGTGATGACTAACGATAACTCTCACTAAGAAGATACTGAATTAAGTAAACAATCCAGTATTGTTAACTATAGTCCCGTGCTGTACATTAGATCCCTGGAGCTTAATTATCTTATGGCTGAAAATTTGTACCCTTTAGTCTACGTCTCTGCCTTTCCTCCACTTCTCAGTGACTGGCATCCACCATTCTACTCTCCGTTTACATGAGTTCAATGTTTTGAGATTCCACGTATAAATGAGATTATACGGTATTTGTTTTCATCTGATTTGTAATTATGTGAGCTGAAGAATGTGTTAACCAACCTTATTGTGGTAAATATCTCTCAATATATGTGTGCATCAGATCGTCACATTGTACATCTTAAACTTACACAGTGTTATATGTCAATTATATCTCAATAAAGCTGGGGGAAAATATTTTTTCATCTATTCAAAAAAAAAATGCTGAATTCAGACTCATCCTAAGTACCTAATTAGTTGCTTGGGATATGTTTCCCATTTCTGAATAGTGGTTTTTAATGAAAGGCTATGGACTCTTGAGTTGGGGATGACTTAACATGGTGATGGTCAAGGAGAAATGATTCAACTCTCTACTTGGTAACTGGGCCTGTTTCTTTAAATATTATCTTGTGTTTAATTCTGTCATCTTAGTTTAGCTGATTTATGAGGCTTTTATTGCTGCCATTTTTCTTTTCTAGGCATTATGGCTCCTCCACCTGGTATGAGACCACCCATGGGCCCACCAATTGGACTTCCTCCTGCTCGAGGGACGCCAATAGGCATGCCCCCTCCAGGCATGAGACCCCCTCCACCAGGAATTAGAGGTGAATGGATACACTTGTGCTCAGTGCTGCCAGCCAGAGCCCTGAATGTTTATGTGTTCTTTTCTAATTTTACTTTTTCTTTTCCAGGTCCACCTCCCCCAGGAATGCGTCCACCAAGACCCTAGGATACTATTGATTCTTCTTAGTCACTTTTCTCCTGCAGTGTGTCTTGTGAAACTGTGTAGAGTGATTGTGAGCTTTTGTCCCCTCTTTGCTGAATTAATATTAGCTAATAAATGCATAGAGCAATTAAACTGTGAGGTACTTGTACATTTTTTGGCCCATTCGTTTGTTGAGGTCAGAGTGATGACTGGGATTTTTCTGGTCTTGACATTATTGTGGATGAGGTGAATCCTGTTCAGCAACTCATATAATTTTCTCTTTAATTGTTATGACAAAATGGTTGTGCTTCTTGTTTGTTTCCTAACTTTCACTTTGTGCAGTGACTGGTGTCATTTAATATCTTTTACACATAAGGAACCTCTTGACCCAGGGGGGTTAAGTGGTTGAACTAAGACTCACACATGGCCTCTTGCACTTTACTATGCCGTACATAACTGAAGGGATGGGATGAAAGACCACCTATAAAAGGAAATTGTGGTACTGAATCAGACTTTGTTCATTAAATCAAGCATTTGGAATAGGAGGTACTCTTTTTTCCTTGAAAGGTTGCCTCAGTTAATGAGCTTTTACAGGTCCCTTGGGCCTTCTGTGATCAGAGTAGATGACATGATCCTGGAATAGTCATCATTCCCTACCAGTGAGTAAGTATTCACTTATAAATTTTTGAATTACGGCAGAGCCTGTGTATAGGGAGCCAGGGAGGTTATGTGTTTGAGGTAAGCTATGTTACTTAAAATAAAGATAACTTACACCCTAAAATATAGTTGACTCTAAACTACAGATTATCATCAACTGCATTACTTAGTGATTTACTGAAAGTATTCAGAGGAGCAGAGAGTCTTTTCCAGTAGTTAAGGAGTGTCCAAGTATCTAGTTCTCTTTGAGTTCGTTATGAAGCAATGAAATCACTTTTAAAAGGAAGAGGGAGGAGGATTTTAGGTTTTACGGCTAAGGTTTCAACTAGGCAATGAGTGAATCCTTATTGATTGTAGGAGTTAGCTTATAAAATACTGCAGTTAGAGATTGGTATTAAGCCTTAATAACCTAAGATGGGTAGACTGATTGTGTCTTTTAATTTTATCAGCAGACGTTGTATGTATGCCACCTTTTCCATCTTTTAATTCATGGCCTTTCAAGAAACAGTCTCCCAAGGAAAAGGGACCTTAAAAATGATTACCGTTGTCATCACCATCTTTATATACTTTATTATATACTTTATGTAGTCTGATCTCTCCCAAGTAGTTTCCAGGATTGATGGTCACTTTCAAGTAAGGAACATAATGTAGCCACGCCTTCCTTGGTTTAGGAGATTTATATGATACAGATGATACTTTTTTCAGAATTCATCAATGTTAAGAAACTTTCTGGCTACCGGAGCTGTAGGAAAAGTTCTTTATCTAGATCTCTGGAGGCAAAGCTGATATATGACAGCTACTTTTGCTCTAAAAATTATGTAGGTGGCATGTGAAGAGCCTTGTTTTCTAAGAAGTCTGTTCTGTGGACCAATTTCGAATAATTTGTGGTACTTTTTCTAGTTTTGGAAGGAAAACGTCCCTCTACATAGAACTGCTGGCATGGATGGCCCTTTGATTTTGGCATGAGCGATCGTGCAGCATGTTTGAGGAGAACCTGTTCTCTCATATTTCCTTAACTAAAGATGGCCTCTTTAGCAAGTTAGAGGTGAGTGACAGGAATTCAAGATTCTACAAGATGCTTCTAGTGGCTTTTTGGGTTTGGTGGTGATAATATTCTCTGCCTAGAGCTTCCTTGGATTTTTTTGAGAATTCTGACTGTGGGACATAGACTAAAAGACAACTCGGGAGACATATTTATATAATTGCACATAGGATGTAAGATAAGTGTGTGGCTCTTTTGTTACATGTTGATAGATCTGTGCTTTTGCAGGGTTCCCGTGGGCACACATAACAACATACTAGCTTTCAAATATTCGTTTTGCTCTAAATGAATTGTATTCTAAACATTTTAAAAGCAGTAAGTGCTTTCTGTCCCTTAGGATTTTTCCTACATTCCTGCATTCAAGTAAGTACGTGTTTCATCCAAAACACAGTTGGACAGTGATTTCCTGGTCACATTTATTAACTGTGACTCCATAAGTATATACACATTGCATTATCAATATAGTTTTTATTGTGGTTTACAGACAGTTTCAAATAGAATTCTGGGATTTAATAGTTATACTACCTTAAACCTTTATGTTTTTTATTTGCGGTGGTCTGTGTTTATATGGTAGGTTAACTGGACTTGGTATAAATGCATGTCAAAAGTGATGTAGATCCCTTCATAAATTCATTGGTCCTCAATCATGTGATCGTGTCAAAATTTAGAAGTCCCATGATTTTTTTCCAGCTTCGTCAATATATAATTGATAAAAACCATCTAATTTTAAGATGTACAGCATGATGATTTGATATATATTGTGAAACGATTACCACAATAAATCTAGTTAACTCCTCTATCACTTCACATAGTTCACCATTGTATTTTTGTGGTGAGAACATTTAAGATCTACTGTCTTAACAAATTTTAAGTGTACAATACAATATTGTTAACAATAATCAGTATGCTATACGTTAGATCCCTAGAAGTTACTCATCTTATAATTGAAAGTTTATCCCTTTTGACCGACATCTCCCCATTTCCCCCAACCATAAGTTCCTGGCAACCACTATTCTACTGTTTCTATGAGTTCACCTTTTTTAGATTCCATATATGAGTGAGATCAGAAATCTTGTAATTTTTGTAATAAAACATTTTACTTCTTGTAGGTCTTTACTTGTAATAGAACAATTCAAGTATTTTATGGAATTAGGTGATAATACTTGTCTAGAGTTTTCATAATCTCATTTGAAAGATCAGAAAAACATACTGTGTTCATTTCAAATAAAACTTTTATTGATTTCAGCAAGTATTCATAGCCTCTGGTATATTATATGAAATTTTCAAATACATCTTATCCAGTTGATAATACATTGCTAGATTCTGTCTTAGTCATCTTTGCATTCCAATTCCTTTGAGACTGGCTATACATATAAAAATGCGCAGTACTTGAATTTTATTAAATAAGTAAAGCAAGGCATGTTATCATGGGTTTTTTGTGTTGCAGCTTTTTCAGTCTTAAGCAATGCCTTTTTGCCCGCTTAGTTGATGACTGAAAGGAAGAGAGAATTTGATCACTGAATTTTCTGACCTGTCATTGTGGATCCGACCAAGTAGTGTTGCAACAAGGCTGAAAATTGGATTAGCTGCATTTAGAAGAGAAACTTAAACCACTCCAGGTAAAATAACCTTGTAAAGAAAAAGTAAGACTATTTCAGAGGCCTTGGCTAGGTTCATGATGATACAGGACCTTGTCTGAACAAAGTGATTTCAAAATTTGAGCTTAAAATGACATTCTGAAATCCAGTCAATGTGCCTCATTACTTTTCAGAGAACATTATTCTTGAGAGAATGTTGGCTTGACATGTGAAAACTTTGAATACTTAGAAATGGCAGGTGTAGTAGTACACTTTGCCAGTTACTCAGATACCCCTTTTTTATTTTCATAGATATTCTGGGATAATTCCTTTTTTTTTTTTTTTACTATATATATGTGCATGCTGATGAAAGCAAAAAAGAAAGCACATCCTTGGATCTGAGAAGGCACGCGTGTGGTGAGATGGAAGCAAGGACACGCAAAAAGGAAATTTAGCACCTCTTGGATCAGACCTTGAATGCCACAGTGCTAGGTGTTTAACTGATGTCCAGGAAGGAGAGAAACTAATATTATGATGAAATACAATGAATCTGGTAAGTACCTTCACACGGATGCTGTTGGTGTTTGTGCTAAAGTTTACTGATTGCATGTTCCCAACCTTTCTGAACCAGCTCCAGTTACCACATGAATGAAAAAGTGCTAGTTGTTGAGACCCAGCTTTGGTCTAAGATGAGACTTATATTTTTAGACGAATGATTAAGTTACATTCAGAGAGATTACTCTAATCCTTAATAAATCACCACTTTAATTATCTTGGCCAGACACAGATGGAGCTTTAGAAGTTTTGACTCTTTGTGAGTCAAGGGAATGAAATCAGCTTTTTGTACTTGTCAGTGCTGAATCCTGGAGAGAGGAACTGTTTGATAAATAGTATGCATTTCTTTGAATCAGGTTTTCAATAACACAGTGTTTAATATTTATCTTCACTTGTATAGGTAATGGATCTTTTGTTATCTGTGACCGGCATTCTATGATTAGGTGCTTGTGCTTTGCTTATACTAGCTGTTAGGTGGTTAAGTAGTAAGGAAACAGATACTTTAGGAAAACCTATATAAAAAAAGGTACTGTGGACAGTTGAATATATCAAGATCTTATCTTTAAACAGTCATCTTAAATTTAAGAGGTGTGTGTGTATATATGAATAAATGATGTGGGTGTTGATACTATAACAAGTGAGTAGTTTATAGGGAAAAAGTGTTGGGGTTCAGAAGAATGCATTCTTTTTTAAATTTGTTTTGGTGAGGTAGATTTCACCCAGAGCTAGCATCCATTGTCAGTGTTCCTCCCTTTTAGCTTGGGGAGGATTACCCTTGAGCTAACATCTGTGCCAGTCTTCCTCTATTTTGTGTGTGGGATGCCTCCACAGCATGGCCTTATGAGTGGAGTAGGTCTACACCAGGATCTGAACCCGTGAACCTGGGCTGCCAAAGCAGAGGGTGTGGAACTTTCAATTATTCTGCCACAGGACCGGCCCAGAATACATTCTTTTCAAAGCGAGGTAGACACGTTTTTTCACAATTATTTTCCTTATCAAGTCCCTGTTTTCCTGCCAGAAAATTTAGTATATTTATAACCTCTCAGATTTGTTTCATTTCTCTTAGTGTTCCTGATCCTAATCCTGGCTGGTAGGGATATGCCAGATGAATTGAGAGAAGTGAGCTACCTTGCTACTAACTGAATCAGATTAGAAGCATACAGTTGGGTGAGAAAGGAAAGAAATGATTTTGGGGTCTGTTGAGGTGTAGTGTTTGTCATAGGGTTATTTGACTTCGGATTTTTGGTGCAATTCAGAGTGGTCAGTTATTCTGGGAGAATGGATACAGTGGTAGTTGCTGGTTTAGCCCCATCCAAATAACCCCATTCTTGGGATGATGCTTCTTTAGAAGTGAAATAAAGAAAATTCCTTTTAAATATGAATCCCTGGAAGAGGATCAATTTTTGGGTTTTTCTTTTGGAGGAAGGGAGGATTGGCTTTATGATCAGACTCATTGTTTCTTGAGCCTAATGACAGCTTTCATTCTTGCAAAGGGAAATCTGAGGTCCAGCCAATCTAATTTATGATGGGTGCAATTTGGTGAGAGAGTAATGGAAGGAATGAGTTAGCAGTAGACACAGAATGCAGTGGTAGATGAAAGGAAGAGAAAAAGGAAAAAAACAAGGTTTAAAGTTATTGTAGCATGTCCTTGTCTTGTTCAAGTGAGAAGGGAGACATGTAGATTTAGAGCAGTATCTGGATTGTTTTGATTGTTTCCATTGTTGGCAGTAGGAAAGCTCCCCTGTTTGACTACTGGAACAGTTGGGGTAACTTAGGAGTCAGAATTACCATTTACCTGCTATATTCTGTTCAACTTCAGTGTGTGGGTCTCAGGCTGCTTTGTCATGGTAGGTTCTGTGTCCTTTCTTGTTGACTGTTGGCAATATTGTGTCTTCTGTTGAGATGATTGTGATGAGCAAGATTTGCTCAAATGTCTGTTCCTGCAGTGGTTAGTTAAATGGATAAAGAGTTGTACATTTCTAGGCAGCTTCGATTAAATCAAACTTTTGTACGTATGGGAGTCATTTCAAGGGCTTGTACAGTTTGGGTCAGAGTTTCTGATTCAGTAGGTCTAGGTCTGACAGATGCTGCTGGTTTAGGTACCACATATGGAGAACAACTGAATTTTATTCAGAATTAAATATGTATTTTCTGAAAGTGCTATTATGATTGCTAATTTATATGGATAACATAAGTAAATATGTTATAGAATAGTTATAAGTATGAAAATGAGCAGGGAATTTTAAAGGAAAAGTAGTTGTCTTATAATCAATTTCAGTGCAAAATACTGTATTTTTTTCTTGCAAGATAATAAAAAAATAGAAGTGACTAATAAGAGTCATTGGGGTCAAATGTGTGATAGGGGAAACAATCCTACAATTTATTTGAGAATATGAATCTATGTATCTTACAACAAAATGCCAATGTACTTTAAATTATGTACCTCATTTGAGGAAACCTATTTTTGCTAATTTTCTTAATAATCAACTATACATTTCCATTAAGTTTATGTTGAATAAAAATGACCAATAAACACAAACTTCCAAAAATCAGTAGATATTTTTAAAGCTTTCTTTTTAAAAGATTGTCACCTGAGCTAACATCTGTTGCCATTCTTCTTTTTTCCTTCTTCTCCTCCTCCCCAAAGCCCCCCAATACATAGTTGTATATTCTAATTGTGAGTGCCTCTGGTTATGGTATGTGGGGTGCCACCTCATCATGGCTTGATGAGTGGTGCCATGTCTGCACCCAGGATCTAAACTGGCAAAACCCTGGGCTGCTGAAGCAGAGTGCACAAAGCTATCCACTCTGCCATGGGATTGGACATTTTTAAGAGTAGTGGCTGGCCCCATGGCCGAGTGGTTAAGTTCTCCTGCTCTGCTTCGGTGGGCCAGGGTTTCACTGGTTTGGATCCTGGGCGCGGACGTGGCATGGCTCATCAAGCCATGTTGAGGCAGCGTCCCATATAGCAAAACCAGAGACACTCACAACTAGAATATACAACTATGTACTGGGAGGCTTTGGGGAGGAGGAGAAGAAAAAAAAAAAGATTGGCAACAGATGTTAGTGCAGATGCCAATCTTTAAAAAAAAAAGAGTAGATACGATCTTAGTGAATAGTGTGTTGATTTCTTAGACATAGTAATTTCTGCCTAATGCACTTTTGGGGTAAGGTTTATCCAGTTTTTCTTCTATGTTAGTCATAGAACTATGCATAATTTGAATTACTTGGCATATAGGCATATGTTTTGTTTTATTTTAAGCATCCACTTCTAAATCATTTTAAGTGGGCCATAAACTGGCAATACCAATGGATTTCTGGGTGTTGAGTTTGAGAAATACTGTTTTCTTAGGAAATGTCAACATATGTTATTGTTTGGCTGCAGATACTCCAGTGGCTATATTTAGTTATTGAAATCTGATATTCTAATGATGCTTCTCTATGGGAATAGTGTTATAATGGACTGTCCACTTATAAATTTTGAAAATTAGCCACTTTATTTGGGATTCCTCCAGGTTTGAAAGTGCTGAAGAATGTAGATACATAGATATAGAGGAAGTCAGAGTCACTCCCCATCCTATTGCAACTGAAGAAGGAACCTAGGCTTTAAACAAGGAGACTTCTTTTCTGTGGCTTGGACTGAAAAGAATAAGAAATTACACAGGATTTTAAAAAAATTATAACTTAAGATTTCTGTGAGAGTAAATTATTGCAGTGATACTGATTTTATTATTTTTGTAGCATGGAAAATTTGGGGCATGGTATTTTTCTCATTATCCTTTGCATAATGTGTAGCCCTCTCTAGTCTTGGCTGGAGACTGTGGCTTTGAATTTAGATAGATTGGTTGTTTTCTTGGCTGAGTGAATTACGATCCCACGTGATGTCAAAATAGCAACAGAAATATCCCATCCCTCAAAAATTGCTGAAGTCACAAGGAAGAAACTTTCATGAAAGCCTCGACTTAGTGAATAATAATTTTGTTTGTGTAAGGTTGTAATATGGCAAGATTTGGAAAAATGCTTACAAGAAGACATAGACCGACTTTTCTGGTATTCTTTCTTTATGAGAGGAACAAAACATTAATGGTTCACTAGAGGCTTTGGTAGCATTTATTACTGTTCTCTAAGGCCCAGCATAATAATTAGCATCTAGTAGGTGTTTGATGGATAGTTAATAATTTCGTTATATTGGTGTATTATTATAGTTATTGGTAGAATCAATGCATGAATGAACAAAAAGTACAAGAAATTTGCGTTATAGGAAAAATTTGGCTTCCAGTTTAACCCTTGATTTTCTCATTCTTTGTAAGGGTTTGAGTCAAGAAATGAGTGCATTTTATTGTGCCGTGTTTCTGGGAATGGAATTGGGTGATAGTATCTTACACCCAATTTGCCTCTTCCATCAATTAGAGAAATACTTAAATGGAATGACAAATTTTGATTTGAGGCTTTGGTGGAAAGAGAAAAGGGTGTTTCTTAAGGTTGTCTACTCTTTTTATTGCATGCCTCCACCTGTTTCAGACTAGCTCACTGGAGAAGAAATCTTCCATGTTATAAAAGAAAAGAAAACCCACATGTTCATTTGAACTTATCCCTTGTACAAATCTCTTAAAAATCAAGAGGACATCGTTGTTGAAGATTATATGACAGTTGATTTGTTAGTGGGTAGTGTAGTACTTGACCGCATAAAAATATGTGAAAATGTGTCATATTATTTACATTGGCATAATATATTGGTTATTTATTCCCTTGGTTTTTGTAATGTTTAACATAAACATCTTCTGCAGCTCAGTGTAAAAGACCTGAACCAGTTGTTTCTAAAATGACAAAAATGTAGTGATAATTCAAAGAAGAAAATAATAGCAAAATAATAGCAAGTAAACATGAAATATCTCAAACTCACTTAAACATCCTTTTAAAATCATTCTATGATACATTTGACTGTCAATTTTACAAAGATGTAAAAAGGTGATGCAAACTAGGAGGTGAGGATGTGGCTGTCTTACATGGACTTGAATGGACTTTAGGAAAGATGGACAAGGATTTCATCCAGAAACTTAGGAAATTTATTGCACAATAGATACTGTTTAGACTTCTTTAGATGGCTGCTCTATTTGAGCTACCTTTCTATTTGAGAGTTTTGTTGTCTTTTAACTGTATTAAAACTTCTAACTGGTCGCTTTACTTCTAGCCTCAGATTCTCTAATTCATCTATCTGCCAAAGCAGTCTTTTGGAAAGATGACCACCACATCATGTTTCTTCATCAGTCTGCAGTTGACATGTTTCAGGAGTATTAGAAATAAGCAATAATCAGAGGACAAGGATTATATAAACTGATAATATTTACAGCCTCTTTTGCCACTGTCAAAACTGGAAATTTTCCACTTTTAGTCACTGAACTTTTGGATTCTTAAATTTTGAGACATTCTTTCACACTTAGCCTCTGCATAAGAATCTTTAGAAGTTTGTACAGCAGGAAGCAACGTGACTGCAACCCAGGAAGATTTAGAGTAGATTTGCAAATCTTTTTTCCATTAACATAGGTAAGTAAGCAGGAGAGACTAGCCTGAGTGACTGCTCCTGCATTCATAAAACTGTAGTTTTCAAATTCTTCTGGAGTATTCTGAGCAATTTTACTTACAGACTGCTATCGAAGTTTAAACCTCATGCTGATTTAAGGGGTCTTTGGTCAGGGCACCTGTGTAGAGCCACTCTCTTGATCCTCGACTCTGCTCATTTGCCTGGTCCAACAGCATCAGGACAGCATCTCATTCCGCATTCCTCCCAAAAATGGAAGTGTGTGAGGGGGTATCTACTGAATTGAAAATTATTTCAAGTGGATAAAACGAGAGTAGTATTGGGCTAGTCTGGACAATGTCAAGTACACACAAGCCAACCTTGCAGGAATATGTGGATAGAAAGGGAAGAACAGCACATCTTGAATTCAGCTAGAAACTTCACCAGCTACATCATCACAGACAAAATAAAAATAGATTTATACTCTTCTGAACTTCATCTTGCCTTTCAAATGTTTACATTTGGATTTGAGGGGGGAAAAACCGTGTCTTGCTTGCTATGGAGTATCAACTTGCCTTCAAAAGATTTACCAGTAAAAGCCTTGCATATGTGATATTTGTATGTGTATGTGATAAACAGATCTTAGTGTGGGCCTCCCCTCCGACACCCCTGCTGGAGCTAGCATTTTAAAGCAGCTTGGAATCTGATCCTATTAACTACTGGACATATATAGCATAAGAATTTATTGAAATACTTCGGAAAATTGTGTTTGGGTAATATGATTGAAATGGAAATATACTAAGTGAATGATGAATATATATGAACTGTATATTGCATATTAGGAAATGAAGAGAATGAAAATTTCAACATGGGATAGTTTTATTGTATTCTCTTTTAGCTTAGTTTTTCTTGGACTCTAATACTGAAGCATAGAGACTTACATTTATAAACATGAATCTACTATTTTTAGATACTTTTTAAATCGTTGCTGTGATAATAGAGCTGGTTTCCTAGGGAAGTTTCTAAAAATATGTTTGGTAAAATCGTATCTCACAAAGATTTTTGGAAGGAATTCTGTGGACATTTTGTAAAGCTATACATAATTCTCTATTCATTGTTTGAGCGCTTATGGATAGGAGAAAAGAAATGGGCATGGTGAGTGTCTAATACGTTAATCAGGAAAAAAAGTTAAGGCACTAGTTATTCATGTGCATTTTGAGAATGCTTTGTATGAAATAACAATATAATTGCTTTGTGACATTTCTTAGTGTATTGTGATTGCTAACAGAGTTTGCTAAAATACATAGAAATATTTTAATAGATGATTATAGAAATAGAATAATTAGAATACCTCTGAATGATGTGTATTTATAATCATTTGATCGGATTATTGCTGTGGGTTTTTTGCGGGGAGTAGGATTGTTCTGCATACAACTGTCTGTAAGAAATTTTATTAAGGCTGCTTTATGTGGATGTAGATGTTATTCTGTAAATGGTCTTTATATGTTAGAATTTGTATGGCATTAGATTTTATTCTCAAAATGAGATTGTTGCACAAGAGGCCAGCCTCAATGAACACTTTGCCTGTTCAGGGTTGAGTGGGCTTTTTATTGCTCTGTATACACATGAAAAAAGTACTGTTATATCATCTTATCAAGCATAGAAGTGGCTGACATTTTGGTCATTTCAATTGTTAAAATATAATTTTGTTGCTTGCTGAGAGGTGTTTCTAGACTGCTTTGTAAAAGAGCTGAATTCAGGAGATAGAGAATAAGACGTTTTGGAGGGCTGTGTATGTATATATGCATGCATATATACAAGGAGAGTTCTTGAACAGCCTCCAGGCGTTACTCCATGCTCAGATGTTGGTAATCTACATATGTTTTGTAAAATATTCTAATGTTAAAGAGAGGTAGACTTTTCCCCTTCCACCACTGCAATTGTTTAAATTGCCTCTGAACATTAATTCATTTCTGGTAGATATTGTTATACATTTTGTTATAAACTGTTATTAATGTTAGATATTTTTGTTTAACATCTAGTTTTCTACATGTATAGACATCATTGTAAATTCATTTGAACTTATAAAGGTAGAACCATTTTTGTTTGCCAAAAGAGATGGTTAGATCTAGCCTCTGTGTTCATTGAATCAGTAGGTTCTATTTTTAGGTTGTGGTAAATACAATGTGTAGTATCTCATCTAACATGTCATTGTTTTATGACAAGATTCATCATGGTGGAAATGTCCTTGTAACTGGTGGTCTGCCTTTGCTTATTGGTTTTAGAAACGTTTGCACACAAATAACACAGTCCTTTGTATAACATAGAGAAACCTCTACTTGTGGTAAAATAGCATAGGTTACAAAAGTTTTCAGTTGCCGGTGAAATTTAACTTTTAATAATAGTGAATTGTTATTTTAAAGTACTTAGTTGATTAAGCAATTTATAAGTTTTTATGGGAAATGTTAGCAATGGCGTATCAAATCTGAGTTCATTAAATCATGAGCCGATCAAAAGAATGTTTATGTATTATGTGTATATAATGGACATAGTTATTTTTTAAAGGATAAGAATACTATATCTGCATGTTTCGTAAGTATATTAATTGTAGAATGAAAACTTACCCAAATGGTTGTCACATTGTCACTATGAGTAAATAATTGGGCAGCTGAAGGGGTTTTTGTTAGATAGTTGTGTGTAAAAAGTTAGAATATGTAATAGTTTTGCTTTAAACTTTCAGTTCTTGATTTATAGGGATTGCTTACATATACATATGGGGGTGTGTGTATGTGTGTATATATATATATATACACATGCATGCACATATGTACATATATGTGTATGAAACAAGTGTTTATTAAAATTCAGAAAATAGAAACATCATTTTTTGGCCAAATAATTGTCATTCGGGCTTTAGTCTATGTTCTTTGGGTTGTTTGAGGGTAGATGATATAGGAAGTTTTAGTTTTTGAACTTTATTTAGTACCTGGAGGATACTGTGAGGCTGCTAGATATATGGTAGACAAATGTTAGTCTTTGTTTTATAACATCTGCATAGGATTTGCTAATAGGCATACATTTTTGAAGATCAAACCGATATAGACAAAGGTGAAAACACTTTACGTTGGTAAATTGAATTCCTATACTGAGTCCATTTGGGATGTATTTGGTTGATGGGGATTATATTTTTACTTTGATTCATGTATCGAAGATAAATGTCATTTTATAAAACATTTTTGAATATGTAACTTCTGTCAATTTTGAAAATATGTTTTTATTGAAATGTTAAAGGTAGAATTACTGTTTGAACATAGGTGCAGTAGAATGAGCATATTCATGAGTTTGGCTTGATTTTAAGGGTTTTTGTTTATTTTTGTGTTTTGAGTTTTTTAATTAGATCTTTTTTGTTAGTATATGTCATTGCCATTCATATTTTTAAATATGTAACTTGTATGATTTTTCTTATCTAATTTTTTGATTGATAAATGTTGGGACAGAGCAGGGAAGCATTTGACTGCTGTATATATGATAGACAAGCTTCTTGTATAACATCTTAACTTCCTAGGCATGTAGAAACATCCTCTTCATATGCAGGCACATGCACACACACATGAACACACACACACACTCTAAATATATTCATGTTGAACTATAGTTATCTTTAAAACACCTTTTCTTTCTAGAAATGTAGACATTGCTGATAGAATATACTTTTAAATATCAGGAACTTTTTTATCAGTATAGTAATTAGCGTTTTTTGCATGTTCAGTGGTTTGTGGTGACGGATATGGACAAGGGTGTTGGATGTTTTCTGATCTCATGTCTGTAGTATATGATGCTTTAGCTTTATTCTTTTTGGTTTATAGAGATTGTGGACATCCGTATGTTTCAGTCATGCGGTTTTAAACTGTAAGGTTGAAACGCTTAACTTTTGCAAATGTTTTTAGAAACTATATGGCTTGGTCTTTTTTTTTTTAAATAACTGAGTTTATAATAGTTGCTTTATAACGTTTTGAGTGTGAATGTATAGAACTGTTGATAAACGGAATGATAGAGGTTAGAACCAGTTTCTTTTGATATTTTTAGTTCACCCATATGGAGTCTTCATTGGACTGCTGGGATCCTTAAAGACAAATTACCATAATTGAGTTAAAACTCTCTGAGCTATATTCTTGTTCCTTATGTATATATTATCATGTTAGGGAGAAGATCGTGACATTTAAAAGTTCTTTTACATCATATTTTCATTTAAAAGAAAAATTAGATTATAAACATTAAATTGTTTCCATTTTATATAAAAATATCTGTCAGTTTCAGGAACATGTAGGTATATCTTATTTTCCAGGTGTACTGAAGTTAATTATGCAATTCAGTTTTCTAAAGAACATTTTATAAAATCTCTGAGTTATGTACTTCTTTGTTTATCTGTTACATGGCAATAACCAAGATAATTTTGTAAATAATGGCAAGTAAGATAGTTAATTTTAAATATCTAGTATTTCTACATGTATTGAGAGTCTCACAAAGTATAATTTTGTAAATATTCATTGTAAATGTGTTCTCTTGTCTTCTAAAATTAACGTGGCAATGAAACTGATTGTTGATAAACAGACTCTTGGGGTTATACAAAATTAATCGTATATTAATTTGGTCGTTAGAAGGAATTGACAGGATTTTGCGTTTACCTCATTCTCATATAGAAGAATAGTTTCTATTGTATCAAATATGAATTGTATATTAAAAAAACTTAGACAATGTAAATTTATGTGGTATTTCTGGATGTAGTGAACTTCCTCACTTATTTCTTTAATGTTGCTTAATTTTTTTAGAACAGTTTTAGGTTCACAGCAAAATTGAAGGGAAGGTACAGAGATTTCCCTTAGACCTTTTACCGCAACACATCTGTAATCATCCCCTTTATCAGCATTCTCCAACAGAGTAGTACATTTGTTACAATTGGTGAACCTACATTGATACATTGCAATCACTCAAAACTCATAGTTTATGTTACGGTTTACTGTTGGTGTTGTACATTCTATGGGTTTGGACAAATCTGTGATAACTTGGATCCATCACTGCCCCGAAAGTCCTCCGTGCTCTGCCTATTCATACCTCCCCATATATTTTTTTCTTTTGTTTTTAACATTCAGCATATAAATGACTTTATCAAGGAGATTTTCTACTACCTCTTGGAACTATACACAGTTCTGTATGTGTTCCCTTGGTTGCATGACAATATTCAAGACAACTTTGTAAATAATAGGATGTAAATTTTTAATTTTTAACATCTAGTTTTTCTAGATGTGTAGAGTCTCACAAAGTATAATTTTGTAAATAATTCATTGTAAAATATCATGGTTTCATTATTTTCTTTCCAATGTCTTAGTGAAATTGATATCTAAGTCATAATTTTGTAGTTGTACTGCTTGATATTGGGCATTATATACTTTAAACATAGGAAATGTTATATAAGAAATTTTGTTTTCCCTCTTTGAATGATAGTTTTGTATTTCAACTGCATGACAACATTCAAGACAACTTTGTAAATAACAGATGTAGTATTTTGAAAGAATGTGGTTTTTCTAGATGAATGGAGTTTCACAAACATAAATCTGTAAATATTTCATTGTAAAATATCATAAATTGTCTCATGTAAATGTTTTGGCTGTGTAATTAATTAATAATTGGCCTCTTAGGGCTGTTTAACATTTTGGTGTTTGTTCACTGAGTTTTGGGAAGAGAGATAGACACATCCCCTCAGATTGTTAAGCTTTCATGTAGAAGAAAACATTAGATTGTATACTTAGAACAAACAAAGAAAAATACCCCTGGATGTATTTTTAATTTTAGGAAGAAAAAGGAAGACATGAGAAGGAATCATCATTTTAAATCACAGATTCACAGGAGATTCTCACATTGCTAAAGTAATTGTCACTTTGCTATACTATATAAATTTACTCTTTACAAATTTATATATGTATATGCATAGATATAAAGGTATATATACACATATACAGGTAAAATTACTTTTAGGGATATAGATTTGATAATACTCTCTTTTGTCATTTGTTAACTTATTGCTTCACATTTTTTTTGAAAACAATGGAGATAGTATTTTAATTCTAAGCTTAAACATTTCTAGAGGCCCACTTCATGTTATAGCTACATGTATGTTAATTTTTTATATAAAATGATTAAGTAGCTCTGTATCTGTTTCCTAGTCTGTTTCCATATATACACATATATGTGAACAGAATTCCTCTGATAATGAATATTTTAAAAAATTTTTGAGGACCTTTAAAATTTTCCAGTGAATAGTTATATTTGATATGTGATAGTCAGAAACAAATGTCAAAAGTCTTTCATCTCAGTTGCCTCTAATATAAATTATGAAAATTTCTTAGATTCTATTCAGTGTTCATCAAAGTATAAATCAGTGTACCTTTTTAAACAGTTTGGCACTGACGATAATAATTGAGTATGTAAAACTTTTAAAATGGTATAACTTGCTCTTGATTTTATCTATTGCAACTCTCAAAGAAGAAAGTATGTTTTGTAGATTGAGATGACAAATAATTTGAACATCTGAAATCCTCATCAATAAAAGGTCGTAGTGATTACAGCTTATTGGTCACATGAATGTAATTCAAATACTGAAAAAAAAATTCTCGTATGGAAGGCTGTTTTTAGGTCATATTTAAAATTGTCATTTTTGAACAAACATCAATTAATTGTGTTTACAATGGTGTCTATATGCCTCCAGTTTTTCAAACTGAAGTGTTAATGGTTACTATTCCTGGGGAATGGGATTATCCTGGTATGATTATCGTGTTAAGTAATGCTTACTGGTCAGTGTTATTTTAATGGTGATTATTTTACCATTTTTTGGAATTTTTGTACATGTATAATTTAAATAGTAAAACATTGTTTATGTATTTGTATGTTGCTACATGACAATCTAAAATGAATATATGAATTATTAAATAAAAACATATCTGGAAGGACGTATGAAAAAGTTTTAACATAACTGTATAGAGATAGAGGAATAGAAGGACTGCTTCTACTTTCTGCATTTGAAATTTTAAAGCTATTTCAAAAGGAACATTTAAACAGAGGGAATTTTAAAGATACCAGCAGTTTGTGCCTGTCTTCGTCCTTGCCTCTCGACATCTTGGGATTTGGGGCTGTTGTATCCAACTTTGTATTCTCAGTGGCCATTATGAGTGGTTTTTGAGTGGTCATGAAGAGCATGTGATTTAGAGACTTGTGCAGCAGAGAGTTTTACAGAGTGAACACAGAGTATTGGATCACCCAAGGAAAGAAGGGAGAAGATGGGATTTGAGGTAGGTACTAAACAATTCTATTTGGGTTGACAAAAAAGATGAGGGATGAAAATAGTCCTTGAAATTTTCTTTAAAGGGTAAATTTGCATAAGGCAATGCCATATTTATGGTTACTAACTATATCAAGTTGTTGGAGGAAGAGGTTCTTGGGATGAGGTAGTTAATGGAAGAAATTGGGGAATAGATTAAAGTAGGTCTTAAATTTTTTAGATTGTTCAGAATTAGCATGAACAATGTTTCAATATTCTCTACATTTGTGCTGAAGATGGTTTGAAAAGATGAGAAAGTAAAAAGGTTCTCTCTGGGCAGTCATATTTGCTGGGTGTTTAATTATCTCCATTTACTGTTCCTGACCATTCTAAAGCCATCTTAATTTGTATGTCCTGATGTATCATTTGTATCTAACCTTGGCTATATTGCATTTGTATACTTACTTTGCAGTTGGATATGATGGAAGAAAAACATTTGCAGATAATCTGAGTACAGCTGTGACATCATCAGGAACATTCCTCTTTTATGGAGTTCCTTGATTCATAAGTCTTACCCATGAATCAAAGGTAAGAAGGTTCTGGATCAAGAAGTCCTGTGAAGGATGAGGTTTTGGCTAGGCTCAGGAAAATAATGCTGGTACAGACTTTCTTCTTTTTGGCAATTTGGGATTTTCACCCATGCCAGAAAATTAGTGAGTAAATTCATTATTTAAAAAGATATGTTTAACTCATTAAAGCTGTAGAGTATATGCAGAGTGTAAGAGATTGAGTTTTGTTTCAATTAATTTACTTATTTATGACCAAATATGGCAACGTAACTAATGGTATAAAGGAAACGATCAGTTGTCTAAGAATTGGAAATTATGAAATAGACAAACTCATTTTGCAATTATAGTTTTGTAGTGTGATAAAGGGAGAAGTTTATAGAAACCTAAAAAAGGTGCTGATATTGAAAAGTACTAGTAGTAAAGTCATGGATGACATTGGAGAATTGAATCAGCTAGAGGGTTTATTGATGAGGAATAGTTTGTGTTAAATCTGTAACAAAGTTCAGCATGAACCTCCACTTAACTCGTTCTTTAGCTATTCCATCAGAGTGGTGTGGACCTTACATTACGATGTTCTTTTTTTCCCCATCAGGAGATGATAATTCCGAGAAAAGATACTTTACCAAGTTCATTTTTAATCCCAAGAATCGGTGCCACTGGATCTCTATTGCAATATTCCTCATTCAGGTGTTCGTCACTGCCATCTCTGGTCCTAGGAGTACCCCTTGGCGATATGATTGTAAGGACAGTTGAGTGCTCATTTGATGGGGAGGGGGTAGGGGGCACTTTGGTTAGACAAGAGTTGATATTCTCTTTAAGTTAATGAACTTTTTGTGGCAGCTAGTGGGTATTGAGATCTTTTCAGGTTATGTATTGCTGAGTAAAAAATTATCCTGAAATTTAGTGGCATAAAATATTGTGTTAATTCCGTAGATTCTGTGGGTGAAGATTTCTGACAGTGCCAGAATGTATATAGGATCAACTGGGAAGGACCCAGTGGTTGAGAGAGATTCAGACATCTACTACTTCATTCGCATATCTGGCACTTGGTTTGTGGTGATGTGGAAGGCTGGGCTTACTGGAGGCTTTCAACTAGAGTACTTTCACACAGCCAGGTTCACAGAGGAAGCATCGTAAGAATGAGTGTTAGAAGAGAGCCTTGTGAAAGTGGTGTGGCCTTTCTGATAGCTTCAGAAGTCATGTAGCATCACTTCCGCCATATTCTGTTGGCCAGCAGTGTCATATGACCAGCCCAAATTCCAGCAGAGATTCCGTCTTATAGTGAGAGAGTGCCAAGGTAACTGGAGACCCAGACTACATGTAGGACTGGATGAAAGAAGGCATAGTAGTTAAGAGCTGTGGAGCTTCAGTATTTTCTTTTACATTTTTGGGTCCTTTCACAATGTTCTCATCAAATCATGTATCCTTATTAAATCAATTATTAAATTGATTTTCAGAATATCACTTCTCACACAGACTGAATTTCTCGTGGATAGTTTTGAACAAAAACCTTATTCACTGTGGGAATTGAATAAAGTCTTGCTGACTTGTTTTATGACTTTGGGAGTAAATTAGGCAAAAGATAAGGGGTGGAGAAAGGAAAAAAAATTACAAGATTTTTGAGATAAAGTCAGTTTGGGGAATGCAAAAGAGAGAAGAACCAGGTGCAATACGCTGATGCTGAAATGTGTAATATAACTACTAAAGCTGTGAAACTGTCAAAAGAGTGAGAGGGGCAGTTGTTAATGAAACCATGATCTTATAGAAAAATAGTGAATGCTAGCTCCTGACACACCATGATTTTTGTGCTTCTCATTTTTCCTTCATTCCCCATCGTGTCCTTTAGGAAGGTAATTCATGGGATGTACTGCCAATAGTGAATGATGACAAATTTCTTAAACATTCTTTCTCAGAGAGTGTTATTGCCTATCTGTTATCCGTGGAATAACCTTGAAAGTGAAGGTTTTAATCAGAAAATGTTTTTTTCCTTAGGATAAATCATAGCTAAATTGAAGATTAATGACTTTTGAGGAAGTACCTACCCAGCAATTTTGATAGCCAGCTAGAATACTGGGTTAGGAGCTAAATCTTTTTCTAAGTTACGTTGTAGCTTCCAAAGCTTTAATGCAGTTAATTTTTTCTCCTTTTGTTATTTTCACTATGGTGGTAAGGCACTCTTGTTGCTTGTATAGGAAGAAATGCATGTAGATTGCGTGAAATAATTTTCTGTTTGAACGAGAGTGATCTAGTGATATAAGCAACCAAATGCGTAATTGAAAAGAGGCACAGACAACATGAGGAGGTATGTCCATTTAGCAAGGTGTAAGAAGAAAGAGTAACAGTATCTGGCCTTCTTACTATTATAAAATTCAAACAGCAATTTTGATCCACCTGTTATTTCTTCATAGAATGCCTGTTGCATTTCTTGTACATAGAAATTTTATTAGTTCCTACTGATGATCCCACTGTGTCCTCTCAGGTGATGACTGAATAGGAAACTGATGCCATTTCTTCTGACACCATCTTCATCAAACCAAAAGATGGTCTTCATAATGTATGGAGACTCTTTCGTGTGTTGCAGTGGACACTCCTTGCAGATCAGAAAAACCGGACTGAGAAAGCTCATGTTTTAAAGTAATCTAAAGAGTGTAATTGGAGAGAATTGTAACCAGGCCTGTTGACAGTTTTCATTGTTGCCATTGGACTAAATCTCAGGAGCTTGAATGCCAGAGACGTTATTACACAGAATCTCAGGATGGTGTAATTGCAAGGCTTCATTTCAGTGTTCCCATAAGTATTAAGTGCATGTATTTATAATTTTCACTTATCACAGGATCAACTTAAAATTATTTCATAAAAAATCATCTTGTTCAAGATTTTAAAGGTATAGAAATTTGTGAAGTATGGTATTTTTAACTCATGCCCTTTTCCCCTCATAATTCTATTCTCCAGCGTTATCTACTGTCAGTGTAGTTTTGTGCACATCTTTTTGGGGTGTGTTGATAAACAGATTGATAATGCAACTCTCTTTTTGGCCCATATTATGTCTATAAATTTTCTATGCCGTAAAAAGGCATACAGATAAATTATTTTGATAATTTCAGAGAATTGGAACTGCTAGGACTAGGGATGTCCAAAAATTTATGTTTTGAGTCAAAACTACAGCTTTCCCCCTAATCATAGAGAGAGAGTCCTCATCACTATTGTCTCCCAGTGTTTGTTCATGAGAGTTCTGTTTCGTAAAATGGTACACATGTTAGATGTCAGTGTTTTAATCGTTAACAATGCGATATTACGAAGAAATTGCTTTTTTTCTTCTCTTGTTTGTCTCCATCATCTTCGTATATCCTTAATCCTTACTAGTCATTTGTGTTATTTCATTTTCCTCTGCTTTTTGTTTTTTTCCATTTCCCTTGGAGTATGAGTGTCTTTGTTGCTCATTTCTAAAAGCTCATTTATAACTAAAGATGTTAACCATATGTCATGCATTGCAAGTGAAATACCATGTTTTCTTTTCGGCATCATTTTACTGTGGTGTTTTATTTTTTGGTTGTACAAAAGTTGTGTATTGAAATACAATAATGTTCTGTTTTATGCCTTTTGAGTTTTGTGTTTTTCTTTTAAGAACATGTTTGCATTAGTATCATACATTTCTTTCTCTGTATTTTCTAATACTTTTCATTTTGTCCTTTTATTTTTCCATTAATCATTACCATGGTATTTAAAGTATTACATACTCAAATTGTTTCCCTTGACTTAAGGAATTACTGCTTAATTTAAATTCTGTAATGATATGGAAATTCCCACATGATTGGCTACATTTCTATTTATTTGCTTTATCTTATATTGATACTTTAAAATTACCAATGGTTTCTAGTCTTAGCTATTCCATTGAATTCTCTCATTTCTCGTAATTTTTCAGAATATTCCCTGTCTACACTCAAATTTTTTCCCTCAGTTGACGCTTAAAATTATTTTCCAAGTTGGAAAAAAATGCAATTTTAAGTTCATTTGCACCAAATTTAATAGAGTAATTAGGAGAGAATTAGATCTCTTTAACTCAGCCTTCCTATCCAACTGCAAGGTATGTGTTTCTATTTTTAATTAAATTATGTGGGAATATTGCTAGTGTAGTTTTATTTTCTTATTTTTTGATTAATCCCAACTCATCTCATACTTTTGTCAGTGTAGCGATGGGGATCATACACTCAGTTTTTCTTATTAATATGTGAAAGCCATTTCATGTACTTTTCTAGTGACGTTTAATTGAAATACCAAAATTATGGTTTTCTTTTTTCACAATTCATAGGTGGTTTCAGAATGTATGAAAGCAGAAAGTGCCCTTGGTTATTTCATTCTTAATACTAATCCTGTTAAAGGTTTACTTATGAGTCATTTTAGGAGACAGCTTCCTTCCTTTCATTGAGGATTTTCCACTAAATTTGATGACAAGTTTAATAAAATGTCTTGTGTTTTACAGTTGATCATACTTGCCATTATAATTATTGACTAGGGTAAAAATTAACTTTTTCTAAAAGTGAACATTCTTGCATCCAGTGAATGAATGAACTTAATTGTGTATGTGTGTAATTATATATATAAATATATATGTATGTAAATACACACTTCCCTATTATAATCATTATAATTTTGTTTGCGATTTCTGAAAAAAATCTTAAACAACTTTATTTTGTTTTGGTCAGGGTTTTGTGTTTGGTTAACTGGCTCTACTGAAAGTGTTTTGTGTATTTTTGATGTAGACTGGAAAGAAGTATTGCCATTATTGCTTTAATTTTTATTTTGAAATAATTTTTGACACACAAAACTATTGCAAAAGTAGTACGTAGTTTGTAAAAATATTCTTTAGATTCCTCTTATGTTAGCAAGTTTCATATGCATGATACAATTATCTAAACCAGGACATTACCATTGACGTACTGTTGTTAACTGATCCTTTTTATAGGTCCAGGAGTTAACGTGAATGTTTGACCATGCTTTCAAGTTTGAAATGTTTGACCATGCTTTCAGTTTCCATGAGTCACAGTCATGGGATTTCTTAAAATACATCCCAAATAGAATCTGATAAGGCACTTCTATTTTCCCATCTCCCATGCAAGAAATAACAACTTAAGACTTAGTTTTCTCTTATAATTTATTCCGAATGTATTTTGTTATATCTCAGTATTTGGGGCACCAGTATTTTTGAAACACAATCATCAAACTACCTGTTGAAAAGTATAAAATGCAATAATAATTCCTTATATTGTTAATCACAATGAATAATCAGTACCACCTATGAAATGCTTTTTGGTAAAAAAGTCTTATTCCAATTTGTCTTATGTGTTTAATTAAAAGTTATGTTTAAATCAGCTCTTGTAGAATCATGCATTCCATTCCATTTGGTTTGTTAATCTGTGGTTCTTTGAATCTGCAACAGTCCTTGGTATTTAATTTTTTTCTTGCCATTTACTTTTGGAGGAAATCAGCTATTCTGTCCTTTAGAACTACTTTTTTCCTTTTTCTTGAGGAGGATTCACCCTGAGCTGATGTTTGTGCCAGTCTTTCTCTATTTTTAGTATGTGGGTCGACAGCACAGCTTGGCCGCTAACAGAGTGGTGTAGCTCCACACCCAGGAACTGAACCCAGGAGTGCGCTGAAGTGAGCCACACTAGTCCACCCTGGCTGCCCCTGACCTTTAGAACTTTCACATTTGTACATTCTGGACATGGTAGATGCCATCACTGTGGTAGTGTTTAATGTTTTCCTCAATTTCTCTTATTTCTTAATATCTATTAATTTTTTCTTAGATTAGCCTTGAGCTAACATGTGTTGACAGTCTTACTGTGTTTCTTTTTCCTTTTTCTCCCCAAAGCCCCCCAGTACATAGTTGTATATTATAGTTGTAGGTCCTTCTAGCTGAGCTCTGTGGGATGCCGCCTCAGCATGGCCTGATGAGCGGTGCTAGGTCTGCACCCAGGATGTAAACTGGTAAAACCCTGGGCTGCCGAAGCATGGCATGTGAACTTAACCACATAGCCACAGGGGCAGCCCAACATTTATTAATTCTTTAGTCATTTATTATGAAATGTTTCTAGTTGGATGACATCATAATTCCTTTATTATAAGAACACTACTTAATTATATCACATCATAATAATGTTTGTGTTTTTTCTACATTGCGTATTTCTACAATGTAGAGAATCATTGAGTATTTAATTTTGGCATCACCTTTTCACCTGAAAAATCATGGCATCTTCGTTATCACATTAGTAGTCACACATTTGCTTAAAAGTAAATTACTCTCAATGATGAGCAATTTCTTCGTTTAAATAAGAACTATTTTCAGCTATTTAAAGTTTTTAATTCAAAAGAAAATGTCGCATGAATTTTGATTCTTTCCCTTAACATTTATAGAATAATGAATTTGATATCCTGTCAGTCTCCCAAAGGTAGTAGTATAAATCCATGTAATGTAGTCTAAAGACAGAAAGAACTGCAAAGAAACTTGAGTATTTAGCAGTGATATTGCTAATATAACGCTAAAATTGCAATTATAAGATTAATGCACATACATATAAATAGTAGGATAAAATATAGATAATACCTATTTTACTTTTTCTAACCAATTTATTCCAATATATATTCAATTTATATGATTTACTTTTACAGCTTGTAGTTAGGATATGTTCTTTTTTCTCAGCTTTTGTAAAATTAATTTTATTTCATTCATATATAGAGCAAATAATGTTTAGTTTTTATTTACTTTTTATATATCTCTTGTTTACCTTTTCATGTTTTCTGTCTCTTCCTTTTAAAAAATCATGTTTCCATTTGTTACTTTGACTTATTTTCCCTACATTGTTTTGGAAAGGTGCACAATATTTCCTCTACAAGTTACAATTTAAAAGATACAACTTTTAAAATAGTCTTAAGCACATATATATAACTTTTGAGCAGTTTGTGAATGTTTTACTTTTGACATTTTTGTTGAAAGTTGAAGACATGTTCTATCTCCATATATGTAAATATTACTAATCAATATGATTATAATAGTCAACATTGAGTTCTTAAACATAAGTGACGTGGTCTATGTTTTACAGTTTCGTAAGTCACTTATGAGATAGGTATTTTAATTTTACTCCTGTTATAGATGTGTCTCAAGTTTCCTCACCAGTAAAGTGAGGACAAACAGTGTTTGTCTCAAAGAGTTCTGAAGCATTAAGTGAATTATACAGAAACAGGTACGAAATGGGCCTGGCTCATCATAGTGCCCTTTTTCCTGCATGTAGTAATACTGATATGATAGTAATACCAGTAATATGTTGTTAAGAAGTGAATCACGATCGGAAACTGAAACTTGATGCATCTCATTTGAAGTCCTGGTCCCATAACTTTAATGCTGTACTGCTGTGTACTCGTGAGCAATACTTGGTTTCTGCCCCGGAGTATGTATTCAATGTATCCACTTTCATTAACTTAGTGTATCAATTGGATTAATTTTGTGGTAATAGAAGCGTAGTTAAGAGGTAGTTCATATTTAACAGGTTTGCTGTTAGTTTCTTATCCCATGACAAGAGATTATTAACAGAGTACACTATTAAAGTGGTCAGTTATTGGGTTTCTTACTCTACCTGGATATATTCTAAAAGTAGAAGGATGCATTCCTCAAAGATCACTTGAAACTATGTCACAGTCTACTCATTGTCTGCTTTATAATAAATACAAAAGCTTATTATCAATTAGTTGTATGTTTTTAAGGCTTCTCATAACTTCCAGCATAAAACAAACCTCATATAAAGAGAAATGCATGCTAGTAGAGGACTGGAGATTCCATGAATGCGTTAGTTTTCAAATGTCTAAGAGAGGGAGTGCATTAGCAAATAAAATTGAAGATAACATGTATAAGAATCAATTGAAGATATGAGTATGTTTTTAGTGAATCTGATTCATTTTGTAGAAACAATTTGTTGAATTATTTTGTGATAAACCTAGTCTTTAAGAACAGTTAAGGAAATTATTATTCTTTTGTTTCATTCTATGAGTTTTATTGTCTGTTGGGAAAAACATGAACCTGGAGGTGTATTCGTAAATTGTCTTTGGTTAGCTTTTTAAATAAGTATCAATGCTATTTCTTTGCATATTTTTTCCCTCTTATCTGCTTGTCTCACCTCTGTCACTTGGCTGGTGATCATCAAAGCCAAATTTTTTATATTAAGGTGAGATGTAAGATAGAAGTGTTATTAATGAGGTTTCACTATAGCGTAGTAGTACTTCAAATAAAAGCCTATTTCTGGGCTAAGGATGGCTATTATGTTTATGAAAATGTGTACAAATATCAGGCTGTCTCATTCTTCTAGGGTGATTCAGATATTTACATGTGCAATAAGGATGACAAAGAAGAATCTTCTTCTTGATACATCTGTTCCTCGTGTCTGTCACTGCAAAAACGTAGTACGTACTTAATATTTTTGAGAGCCAGATTCTTAAAATTGGCAGTGATAGTTGACACTAAGTTTATCTTCACTTAAGATTCAAGATCATAAGTCAGTTATTTATAAGTTAATTTAAAATACAATTATTTTTAAAAAATCACT